AGATCTGGCATTCATCCTTACAAACGCTTCGAAAGAGGCGGTACCCTAACTATGCAGTAGAGAGCACGTGAACTTGTGCACATATGGACTCTCACTTTTGCCGGTACGGTTGTCCTATAGATATACAGGATAAGATGTGACAGCTAAATGGTGTGGTCTGCTGGCAGGTACATAAAGCCGGCTGCCATATTGGGGTGCTAAAAAACAACATATACTTGCTATAACGAAGCCAATGGAACGCATGAAACGAGGTCTCGGTGTGAAATCGTGAAAGCAATACATGAAAGCTGGGACTGGTTTTAAATGGCTTCATGAGATAAGGTTGCATGATAATGATCCCGAAACGTCTATTTCTTGTATTTCACTGGCCAATGAGCTACCCGCGTAAAGAAATCTTCACTGCCGACCTCCACGGCCGCCGCCTGCGCTAACGGTCTGCCGTACCCACACGGAGCGATGGTGAGGCCGCTGTCTTCCTGTCCACCTGACGCTCTAGAACCCGGCGGTGGTCGACCTGAGTTTCATCCGTTGTGTACGAAGGACATCCGTTCGGAAAGCCTGTGGAACGTGAGCCCACCGCTGATGCCGACCGCCGGCCCGGGTGGTACCGCCGCGCTCACGCCACGCATCGGCGGAACCGCCGTTCTACCTCAGCCCCGACTGAAGTACGGTGGTAGCGCAACCGCTCTACGGCATATTTCTCCTACAAGCCCATCGGGTTCACGTGTTAAAGGCCTGCTCTTCACAGAGCTGCGGAACGAATTCTATCACGCCAATTTCGATGAGCCCGGCACCAAACGAAAGATAGCTTGATTGTCTTAAGCCGGTCTGTTGGCATTTTTTTTGTTTAGAGAAGTCAAACTTCCACGTCATCCCGGATCAAATTTTTTGCGCACGGATTTTCTCGCCTTTCCCGACTTTCGCGACGCGTCCAGTAGTAGTTCGTAGCTAAATCGGTAAGGTGCTGGATCCGTGACCGGATGGTTTTTATTGGAAGCCGGGGCATTATATAACTTTTCTACAAACACCCTATGGAACATGCTGAATAGTTTTCCATCAACCAATACTTGTTGCCAATGTTTTGTAGTGTGCAACTCATTCAGTTTTTTTGGGGGCGGGCAAAAAGTCCGGGCGTGGCATTCGTTTGAAGTGTAAATGCATTCACTGTTTCCGCACCTTCACCACGCTACCTTCAGCTATCGGCTTATGAATGTTTTGTGCAAACTAGAAACCTGGGCTCCATTGCACATCTGGTGTATTTCTAGCTAAATAATGCGGTTTTCTTGTACTGAACTTTTCCGGCTTTGCTTTGCTTTGCTTGGAACTTTGCCGGCATCGATTACCCTGGTTCTACCTTGCGTTCGTGGAACAGGTGCCGTATGGTCCACCCGCCATTGTGCAGGTTCCATTGTGGGCGTCCAGGGGCGCGATATGGTACTGCCGTGTGGTGGAAGTCGGCACACCTGGTGCCGCGGTGATGCTGCCGGTGTCCACGGGTCGGCGGCCGTGAGTATAGCGCCGACGTACGAGTCGCTGCCGAATCTGCATCGTGCAGGGCGTGATGCGCCGCCGTCTGCTGCACCCAGCAGTTCTACGAATTTCACAAATAGAAGAGAGCACAAGGACTTGTCACAGTCAGATATGCTAGACGCAGTAGCAGGCACCCGGACAGGGCAGGGACTGGTTGGCCTTGCAATGCTTATGAGCACTTCAGGCCAGCCAGTTACTTACACGACAATCATTGCCACAGTATCAACTGGAATGATACATACCCTGATACAAATTGATACCCTTATACAAATTCACGTTCAGGTATCTGACAATGTCACACTGCTCTGTAATCTAACGTTTTTGTTATTCACTGAACAAAGTCATGAGATCCTTGTTTCGTATATTCAAAATCCCCCAGTTCTCCTTGCTTCAACATATTCATCAATCGCCCGATAATGTAGGTGCAGAGAATCTATCGTGCTTCAACGGGTGGTCTTCACGAACCTTTCACGACCCCTGACGAGCCCCCAGGTACTCGCGAGCCGCTGGCCGGACCGTCGCGAGGCGTCACGAACGTCCTTCAAGAAAAAATATCAAGGATTCGCGCGCACTTCTCTGCGAACTGTCAGTGAAATTTGAACTACGTTATGTACAATTATAAAGCCAGCTGCTACATAACATTGCCAAAACGTCGTACACTACTTCATGTGCTTAAGCATCACATCTCAAAATAGCCATCTACTTCTACAAAATCCCAGATCGCGTACAAAAGAAGCCTGAGCCGATAAAAGGCAATAGGCCGAACGAACCCGACGATCGGAGAAGTGTGAGAGTCTCAGAAAAGTGTATCTGCTCGATAGGCCACCGTGCAGATGAAGACTACACTATCGGCTCGCGCATCTGTCCTAATAACCTCTGAGCAGCACCGCTTTAGTCAATTTTTGCCGGTCCTGTTCCTCTGCAGACGCGCGTTGCGCAGCCTCGCCTGGCCATGAAAAAGAGGTTTTCCTTAGCACTCAGGACCATTTCTTGACAACTCTTGCGGAGAGAACCATCAGCCCATCGCGTTTTCCCAGCCACAGAAGGTTACATAAGGATGTGGGGTCATTGGTCTGCTGGCGGCTCACCAGCGTTTCTCGTCGCAGCCTCCGTCCAGTCCCTTTCGGACGACAAACACAGCAATATAGCAACCGGCCTTGGCGACCACTAAGGATAGCCCTGGCCGGCAGTCATGATCGTCCAGTATATCGAGCACGACGGCGCTGTCTGTAACACAGGCGTCATCGACGCCCCGCCGACTGGGAGCGTGACCACAGCCAGGATGGATGTGGATCCAGCCCAGTGATGCTCCTGCTGCGTTCCGTGCGCGTACCGGAATGTAGCGACGAACTGGCTGGCGCTCAGGTTGTTTTTTCACCCACCTGAGAAGTCATGAATGGATGGTAACGAGTGCAGCAGAACCGCCGAGCTTGAGATCAGCATTTGGAGTTATTTTGTAGGTTTAAGACACCTGAGCACATGTCCTGAAAATAGTCTGAGTAGATGGTGAATAGAGAGTAGAGTAGTGGATGTTCTGTTCTCAAACAGGCAAAAACAGCTTACAAAACAACGAGCACAACATTATATTTCACCCCGGTCAATGACCTTTTAGTTGGTAGCTCATCAAGGTAACTGTTGGTAGTAAACAGTAGAACAACAGAACTCAATACTTCGTTTGTACGGCGAGTGGCCAAAGATCACCATCTATGTGATTATGCACCAGCAAGCCAAGGTGATGTTTGTGACTTAACATTCCACAGTTTTACTACTATATGTTGTTCACCCCAATGCTTGTGGCAGAAAGCAGTGCAAAATGCTTCATGTAACACCAAATCGGTAGCTTCAATGAATGCTACGCAAAGCCACCAACGCCAAATGCCGACCTCTCCGACGTACTCAGGTAACCCGCACAGACGGCTCAATGACTGCTCCAAGATGGTGGTAGCTTTCACGTACTGGCGGACACTGTTGTCCTCTCTAGTCCTGAATCTATGGGTTGTCCGTTCTCACCGCTACCAAAACTTGCTGGTCCCATATAACTGTTACGTTTGCTCGTCGAAATCTAGTTGCAGTTGCTACTCGCATCGAGCTTTTTCGTGGCTGATCAACTTCATGTTTTCCATGCTCATCAAATGAGGAGGCTATATTTTGTTCGAATTGCCATTTCGCAGGCAAACAACGCTTGATGGAACAGCTTAAACGCAATAGTTTCATCGAAATACGTTGGTGGCACAACCGCTCTACGGTGTACTTTTCCTACCAGTCTACCGTATATTGCACATCTAGGATGGTTCTAGTTAAATAATGCAGTTTTTTCCTGAACTTTGTTCCACCCGACATCTATGGCCCTGAAATGTAATGCCCAAGGACCCAAGTGAGACGAAGTTAAAGACCTGCGCTTTATGTTGCTAAGAGAAACATGCAACTGCAACCAGTGACTGCAAAAACGTCACCTTCGGATGGCGTGATGGCCGGGAGAGCCGGTTGGATTAAGCTCAAGACATTCTTATTATTCAAATGATATTCCCTCGGCCTGTAGCAACGCTTGTAATCCCTCGTTGCACTCCTGCTTCGTGGGGAAAAGATAGACGGGATTTTGTGACGACAGGCTCGTACGTAAGCAGACGATTCCAACTTCCGCCCCATCTACTGATAGTCAATTCGTTTGAGTATTCTAGCATCGATCGAATAATGAGGGATAACACCTAGCGATAGAATGTCTTGCAAGCACCTCAAAACATTAGTTTACTACTGTAGTTTCTTGGGCGTGTTGTTCTACAACTTCATGACGTTATCTGGCTTTGTAAGATATGTCATCTGTATATCTGTTGTCTTTTTTACGTGTGCCAGTGGCCTCACGCGGCGACAGTGGGCAGCCAGCAATAGACTTGGAAGCACTCGCAAGAATGTGACACTGATAACTCATGTATGACTACTTCCACGCTACTTTTTCCGGCCCTGTAGCAATGCTGACTGCCTATTGCGATATCCTGGGGGCCCCAATGTACGACGTTTTGCCCCCCCCCCCCCCCCCCGGCTAAGTGTTAATTATGCAGTTCTCAGAAATCAAGACAGCCTGAGTTACAGTTTTAGCTTGAAATGCAGTACGCTGGAAATATACGATAACTTTGCCATAGCCCTGGCCTCGAAGGGGCCGACCGCGGAGTTTCGTCATGGCTCCGGCCTCGAATGGGCCCGACCGCGGAGTTTCGCCATGGCTCCGGCCTCGAATGGGCCCGACTGCGGAGTTTTGTCATGGCTCCGGCCTCGAATGGGCCCGACCGCAGAGTTTCGCCATGGCTCCGGCCTCGGATGGGCCCGACCGCAGAGCTCCACGCTCGCCTGACGCTGCCGTCAATGTTGCAGACCGCCTGGTACCCTCGACACGACTGCTGGTCATCCTGATGATCGGTCTCGGCGTCGGCATCGCACAGACCACCATATACAACGTCAACGTTGCTGTCGTGTGCATGGTGGCGGACGTGGCGTCGCCGGTGGACGACATTGGGAAAAAACGCTGGAATGCGTCCCAACCGCGCGAGCAGATGGGCGGCACCAGGAACGACTCGTCCACGGCAGGGCTCAAGGAGGGCCAGGTGAGCGTGGCCGATAGCCGTAGAGCAGTGATTAAGGTGCGCGTCTGGGAAACCAGTGGTTCTGGGATCGACTCCCAGCCGTGCCCACCCTTCCTGTCAGGGTGTAAGGCAGGTGACGGCGCAGCGCACCAGCATGTTAGTGCGTTGCAAACCCAATAACAATAACAGGCGAGGGTGGCACAGACCAGCGGTGCATTTTGTGCACACAGAGAACAGGGGCCACAGCAAATAGCGTTGGGCGCCAAATCTACCTTGGTAGGCATATGTTCCTCTCATCCATTGCTTCCTTTCAATGCATGGAAAACACGTCGCGAATAAAAGGCTCAAGGTCAAACGCGGTCACGTGACGTTTACTTGATCAACGCCCCCATGTTGCAGGGCGAGTTCCACTGGGACAAGACGTTCCAGGGCCTGCTGTTGTCCAGCTTCTTCTATGGCCACACGGCAGCGCTGGCACCCGGTGGTTGGGTTGCCGACAGGTCAGCTGACGACGACGATGACGAGCATGACGTTGACGAGCGAGGCAGATAACTTGTCCGTAAATAATAGCGGAAAGGCATCTGAAAGACATTTGTCATTTCGAGCCACATCGTAACACCACACCGCCAATCGTGCATTAACACGCATCTTATATGAATGTCCAGGCGCTCTGGATTACAGAGTGCGCGGGCCTTGGGGGCGATCTCTTCAGATTTGGACAATATTGCCTAGTCTATGCCTTGATAGCATTAGTTTCTAACACTATCTTCCTCCGTCGAAGCAAGGCGTAAACCGCCAGAAAATGACTAAAATTGCTGAAACAGCAATAATCGGTTCAATATCTGGTTCATGTGTAATTTCGAACGCTGGTTAAGAATCTCAACCCCTGCTCTATATCCATGTGCAATGTTATGTCGGCAGCAACGATTTGATGCCAGTATTCGTAAAACGATCGATATTCTTAACCCTGTTTTTGAAATCCGCTTGACGTTGTCTTCAGACTTTTGGCAGCAACGATTGGCTGAAGTCGAATTAGTGGAGAGCAATACCGGTTTGCTCCTCGGCGGCTTTTCGCTCCGCTTAGGCGCAGCCATGGACTCCTGTTAAAGGGAGTGTTGAAACAGATTTTTGTGTTCAAAAGCATGTTCTGGTGGAACTTTATGACCATTTGTGTTTAATGATAGCGCTGTGTAGCGCCACTGCATCGCCACAGGATATAATACGGAGAACATTTCAAATTATTTTCCATTACAAATCACGCTGTCCGCGCTATATGTAAAGTCCAGGGCAGCATGACCTCGTTGTATTGAGCGTTAGCACGCACAGCCGGGTGCGGACGGGTCAGCGGCCGCGGCCGGTTACACACCGCCGGCGGGGCGCCCACTGGCACAGCACCAGCGGCTCACGCGGGGGCGCGCGCACAGGGAACACATCACAGCACGGGCGATGGTGCACCTGTATTACGTTTTACAACACCACTGCACTTCCCTCCTTGGTAATCGCTTAGTGTATCCCGAGTCCGTGATAACTGGCGTTGTCGCGACCGCTGTCGTCGTGACTAAGGGAGAATATGCTGAGGGCCCTTGTCAGCTGTCATGGGTTGGAGGCGCCACTTTTGAGCTGTTTTAACCCACACTGTGGGCCTGCAAGGTTAAAAGTGGCACCACCACAGGCATGAATGACGTCAGTACAAATGGACGTTTGTGGTTGAGGCAGTGGGCGGCGAGGGCCAGTTGGCGAGAAAGGCATTTGTAGAAGTTCGAATCAGTGCGTCACTATAGATCACGAGATACTCCGTTTCCCGAAGCCAACGTCCGCTTCGAAAAGAGCCATTAGGATGAAATCAAAGCCACAGTGTAACGTTTCACTAGATTCGTGGGATAACAGCCTCATGTTGGCCGTTATCCCGCGAATTTCTGTATAATCCCTTTCTCTAGAAAGCTTGTGGCGAGCCTTCGTAGCATTTCCAACACAAGCATTTTCACAAATTGTGTTACAAATATAACTAAACACAATCTTTGGTGAAAGGAAGGCAAATCCCATTATTCATTTCATGGTGGTAACCGGAAAGTGCAATGAGCTTTCTCCCGCAGGAGCAGAATCAAACCAGACACATCTGATCCAAAAATAACTTGACAACACAAAAATTTAACGTTCTCCCTTTAACGGGGACGTTGGCTTGAATCAGACGCTAGGATTGCTGGCGAGTGATGCTGGCTAGGTCTGGCAACCGATTATTAAAATGATCGGGATGGCTCGTGAATACAATGACCGGTATTAACCTCACCGCCCGTGCAGGGCACGCTCCATTTTGCCGTGTGGGAGCCGATGCTTTGTGTTTGCCAGGTCATGCACGTGCAGAAGGCAATGCCATGTAATGCACCGTTGGCGTGTTAGGAGATGAAAACTCCTATCTCTGCCGTCGTGTACCGAGAGAACGGCGGCTAAGTGTGACTGTCGAACAAGCTGACGAAACTAAACCCAGGGTCTACTGTGCTTCGCCATCAAAGCCTTGCTCATCATTCTCTGCTTCGCTTGTATTTCTAGTTTTGGCTATAATGTTTGTGTCCAAGCCAACCGACTCGCTGGGCCTGGGTCTAAGAACTTTGCATTTGCACCTGTCATTGCCGACTGCCGGCCTAGCTGGTGCTCATGTTCACCTACGCATGATGCAGGCCCAGCTGGTGCTCATGTTCACCTACGTGTGCCACAGACTGCCGGCCCAGCTGGTGCTCATGTTCACCTGCGTGTGCTGCAGACTGCCGGCCCAGCTGGTGCTCATGTTCACCTACGCATGATGCAGGCCCAGCTGGTGCTCATGTTCACCTGCGTGTGCTGCAGACTGCCGGCCCAGCTGGTGCTCATGTTCACCTACGCATGATGCAGGCCCAGCTGGTGCTCATGTTCACCTGCGTGTGCCGCAGACTGCCGGCCCAGCTGGTGCTCATGTTCACCTGCGTGTGCCGCAGACTGCCGGCCCAGCTGGTGCTCATGTTCACCTACGTGTGCCGCAGACTGCCGGCCCAGCTGGTGCTCATGTTCGGCGTTGTCACCCAGGCAGTGGCCACACTTCTCTTCCCCGCCGCCGCCAGATGCAACGATTACCTGCTTATCGCACTGAGAGTAGCACAAGGCTTCACCTGTGTAAGTAACTGCACATTCTTCATCATGGGTGGGAAGGGAACGCTTCGCCGTCAGCGGTATGTGACGTCAATGTGACGTTGACGTCAGCGTTGTGACGTCAACACCGGGCCGGCGCCGTTCCAGTCTGTAGTCCTGCCGGCCAGCGTGGTGCTCATCAGGAACTGGAGCATCCCCGACGAGTACTCCACTCTTTTCTCCATCGCCTGGTCGCTGCACTACATCTTCTCCGGGCTCAGCTACCCCATCAGCAGCTCCCTGTGCGAGTATGGCGGCTGGCCGTTCGTCTTCTACGTCACCGGTGAGATGTGACGTCATCTGACTGTTACTTTGACTGACAATTACCCGCCTTTCTCTCGGTACGCCAACTCTACCAGTCAAGATCATACTAGCGTCTTAGATCTTGAGAAGACTGTCTACTGGGTTATTTCGTGCACTGATCATGATTGTATCACAACTATTAACAAATTTGAGATCTCTTTAAGCGAGCTTCAGACACCTCGCCCCGCGAAGTCTCCGTCGGAGCTGCCGGCAAAAATCAGCAATGGTGGAAATCTTCTCAGTGAAAGCATGGTGTCGCTGCGACCATAGCACATGGTCTATGCAATGTTTTGAGTGATGTTTTGGAAACGTCTTTATGACCACATCATTTGTGCTAAAAGGTTTTCCGCTGCGAGGGCTAAATTTCTGAACGGCATAACGCATTTAGTTTTCAGAGATCTGTCGCTGCGGGCTCTATTCCCGAAACTGACCTGTGTAACTACATTGTAAATTCTCGACAGAAAAACGTGGATTTGCTATTCACCCGCGCTGTGCGGATGCGATCCTGGCCGGTCGGAACAGCGCGGCGCGGCGCTCCCGACCGGCCTCGTCCGCTACCCAGCCCATTACAGGCTGGCCCAGCCGTACTGCCCCAATTCCGTCCCCCGTCCCCCTCCCCCCCCCGTCTGTTGCAATCGTTTTAGCAGCGCTGGGACCATGGGACAAGAGGCCTACGTAAACATGCTTCATTCCTTTGTGGACGGGGAAGAATTCTTTGGAAGCATATTTAAAAGAGACATTCTTCGGAATACAGTTCTGCTATTAAGAGTTCTGTTTTAGTACTAAAGGCGCATTGCCGTCCTGAGTTCCCTTGCGCACAGTTCCTGCATGATTTCACACATTTAATGGTTTGCATTGTATCTGCATGTAGATCTGTTCGAGCAGGAACCGATATATCATGCTATGTTTTCCTTCAAAAGTTAGTCAACCATGACAAGCACATACAGCCTCGTGGCAGAATGTGGAGCGAACTACTTTGCATATTGTGCAAACTACTGTAAACAGTATCTCTATTCGGTGTAATTCATGATGGAAATATGCTGCCGCCGTCAAAATTATGCACAAGCATAACAAGCGCAAGGCCTTTCCTGCTTACATAAACATAAAATTCATGTCAAGTCACTGTATCGCCATGTCTAGTTGTTAATGAAGACGGCCATTTTGGCGACCTGACCGGTCACCAGAGTTTGAAGTGAAGGTACTTCCTGTCAGTGCATATGATGCATTTTAACCCCTCAACAAGACAATATATTATGCGCGCACTCTTCTCTTGACCCCACATGTCAGACCAAATTAACCCTCAATTTTAAGCCGCCCTCAAAGCTGCAGTTTCTCATCAGCTTGGTCTGGGAGCCAGTCTTTATTAAAACACTCTTTCATTGCGATGAATAAAGTGGTAACCCTTGGCATGAGCAATGCAAATTTGAGCTCATCAAATGCGAAGACAAATCAAGTTAGGGGAGAGGTTTCGTCGGGCCTATCGGCTGGGTTCCCCAACTCATTTTGAAGAGTGATGCCCCTGCCCACACCATCGCCACCCAGGCACGTGGTTAATGGCCTTTGTCATGCTCCGATCGACCGCCAAAGCCTGACCCCTGTCGTATGCCCGCCCGCGCGCCGGCAGCGGCTTGGATTCTGCGGTAGCCTGTCATGTGCGCTTTCAATACCCTGGTCTCTGTGGTGTGCCACCCACCAAGTGCGGCGTCGATAACCTGGATTCCTTGGTGCGCCTCCGTGTGGGCTGCTACTAGCCTGGGCTATGTGGCTGGCCCCAAATGCGCTATCCCTAGCCTGGATTCCATGGGACGCCTCCATATGCACTACCAGTGGTAACTTGGACTCCATAGTCTGTGGTGTGCCCCTGTGCACTGCTAGTAGCTCGGACTCTGTAGTTCGCCTTCAGGTGCCCTATCAACTGCCGGAACTCCGTGGGACGCCTCCTTGTGAGCTGTCAGTTCTCTAGACCGCTACACCCCCAGATGGGCTACAAACAGCCTGGATTCCGTGATACGTTCCCAGGTGCTCTGCCGTTAGTCTGGGCACTACTGGGATGGTTCCTGGTGCCCAGCTGTCCTGATGAGAGTCGGCTCTGTTCGGAAGAGGAGCAGAAGTTCCTGACATCCCACCGGCTGTGTCGGGTTGCTACCATGAAGTCCTTGTCGGACAAGCAGGTTAGTATGATGATGACATGACGGCCACTGGTCAGTCAGCTGTTGAGGAGCCTTGGTGTCGTGGTTACCGCAGGTCTCTTTTGACTAAACAAAAATGACGTTTTTGAGCCGATCGTGCATGCATATGTCACTTCCTGGACCCCGGTGTTCCTTGCAGCCGAGCTAGTTACTGGCTGGGCCCAGTGACTTCGTGGTCAGCCCAGATTCCTGGCTGGGCCCAGTGACTCCGCGGTCAGTCCAGATTACTGCCTGAGCCCTGTGACTCCGTGGCCAGCGCAGATTACTGGCTGGGCTCAGTGACTCCGTGGTCAGCCCAGATTACCGGCTGGGCCCAGCGGCTTCTTGGTCAGCCCAGATTACTGGCTGGGCCCAGTGACTCCGTGGTCGGCCCAGATTGCTGGCTGGGCCCAGTGTCTCCATGGTCAGACCAGGTTACTGACTGGACCCAGTGACTCTGTGGTGGTCAGCCCAGGTTACTGACTGGGCCCAGTAACTGCCTGGTCAGCCCAGATTGCTAGCTGGGCCCAGTGACTCCGTGGTCAGACCAGATTACAAGCTGCAACCAATGACTCCGTGGTCAGACCAGGTTACTGGCTGGGCCCAGTGACTCCGTGGTGGTCAGCCCAGATTACTGACTGGGCCCAGTAACTCCTTGGTCAGCCCATATTACTGGCTGGGCTCAGTGACTCTTTGGTCAGGCCAGATTACTAGCTGCAACCAATGACTCCGTGATTGTCCCAGATTATTGTAGGTTCGGTCATGAAATATGAGTTTCATCAGTGATATGTTTGGTGATGTTGATTAAAGACAGTGAACCACATTTACACGAGGTTTTAAACTGAAATAGCCATCTTGACGATAATTCGGCGCTGTTCGCAGCCCTGCCCTTCTGAAGACCCAAGCCTCTCCAGTTTTGTGCACACTATTTGGGTCAATGCTGCGAGAAATCGGGCTCAACGTCATGACTTGTTCTCCTTGTCATCATAAGTATCTCACATCACACCACCATGTCAATTTTTAACGCAAAGCGATAAGTTTGGTGGTAAACTTTCCTGGCAGTCATGCGTTTTTTTAAACTAAAGTGCTGGAGGAATAAAACGGATTGTTAATGGGTGGGTGCAGCTGCTTGGGGTTGTGTAGCGGGTGGGCATGGGCAAAGCCTTATGGGCAACAGGTGGACCGGGTGAAGGAAAGCTTACCTGTTAAGGCCCATATTAACAGGTAGGGAATCCTTGTAGATATGTGGTAACTATTACCATATTAACACGGAATTTGCCAAATTTACCCATGTTGACATAACTAGGTGTATTTCAATCTTTATATCTTTCGAAGGCCATGGAAAGTTAACAAGTAGGGAACAAGGCCTCAGTAATGACTCATGTTACGTGGGACAATTTTAGTGAGGAGTTCTGAAGAGTTAAGAAGTAGGGGACATGGCATCAGCATCAATGTGTACACATCTTCGTGGGACAATTTCAGTGGAGAGTTCATGAAACAACTCTCCGGTGTTTGTATGTCTTCAAGAGCCCATGTTCAATGAATTTTGAAAAACGTGAGTCGGCATAGCACGAACCGAAAGTTTAATGAACTATGGCCCTCAACGTGCTTATCAGCAAGATGTGCCTTCAAGTCATAACGCACGGCCACATAAAGGCTAGAAACAGCTACCAGCGCTCTTTTGCGTGATTGGACAGTAGCAGGACAAAACAAGGCCCAAGCATGTTTTGACCTACCGTGTTCTCGCGTCACAAAATGTGAATCATGTCCGGAAGTGGAGGCCTCATTGGAGCACATAACTTATCGAGCAGCTCCCAACGTATCAAAACAGTTTTGTTACCACACGCTAATTTGATATGTTTGAGGTGAACTGGGACGGACCGATTTCTTGTACTGGGCAGTCATAAGCTCATTGATATATTATGACTTGTAAAAACTTCCAGGCTCAAAGAACCATGCATTACCGCGAAACAAAATTGAAAACTAAACACTGAATTCGATCCATTAAAACGTAAATCTCACCCGATCCAGGATGATATTTTTCCTTGGTCAGGATATCTCAGACGTTTCAAGGCACTTTCAAGGCACGAGGCTCTTTCTTCAAGTTTAATTGGGTCGCGTTTCTTGGTTTTCATGGTTGTGAAGGGCTTACGGGGGCGAGTTATATAACACACTGGTATCACGAATATGATAATTGCTTGGGCTGTCGTCCTCGCCTGGTGTGATCGTGCAAGCACAACGTTTCAACCACTTAGTTCTCGGGATGTCGATGAGTGTTTTAAGTATTTATGGCTGGGCAGTGCCTGGCTTTCAGCCATGTGTATATCACAGCCCAAATGCTGCTGGAATTGCTGGGGTTAAACTGGTCTCCTCCGATCATAGGTTCACCGCTATACCTCTGAGCTGGAACGTTTGGGTCGTTTTGCTATGTTCGAACTCCCTCCTACTCATCTCTTGGACGTATGGCTATGTTTTCGCAGAATTGAGATCTATATTGGGCTGATGTATACGCTTGGCTTACGGATGGTGCTGCTAATCCATGTCATGTGTGCCGACTCCTCGACCTTCCTTACTTTTTATAGTTGCTTCCTGTCGCTGATGATTCTCTCAACTCAGACTGTTCGGTGATCGAATTTTGACTATGTATGGTCTGTCGTACCAGACTTCAGATAGTTGGCTTTCCGTATAGTCTAACCGGATAGTCTAACCGGATAGTTGGCTTTCTGTGCTCTTCAACTCTGGCAGATAGTGGGCGACTGGTTGTTTCCTTAGAGCACCTGTCATAACTGCATGGCATGTCATATATGCAATATTTGACTCGTTGCTGGGTGTTGCTGGTCAGACTTTGGCAATTGCGCTTTGTGAGCGTTTATGTACTTCAGAAAAGACTGTTCTGATGTCGTATTGTAGACAGATTCCTGTGGTCTTCTCTGGCAAGTCTTTATTGTAAGGTAACGATGCCGTTGCCCCTCGTTTCTCCCTTGACTGTCCCTGTTCGGCATGCTCTTTGGGCTTCGGGTCCAGGAAGCCTCTTGCCTATCCGCTCCTGCCGAATGCATCGGTTAGGGGGTCATTTCGCTCTTCTCAGTGGCGCCACCAGGGCCATTTGTATTCGCGCGATCTTGAAGGCATGCCATGTGGCATGTCTAGACAGCGTGGGACCAGTGCGACTGGAAGTTGAGGTAGTGACCGGTTGCTGTTCCTTTCCGGTATACCGATGTACTGAACCTATTGTTAGTTTTCCCGACTTGGCTGGGAAGAAAAGCCTATTAGTTCTCGCCATCCATAGTGAACTACGTGTGAATTATAGTGAACTGCCCATAGTGAACTGTCCGTAGTGAACGACCAACGGGTGTGGACGTGGCCGGATGTCATTACGTCTTCCTGGTGTCGCCAGAGCACGAATATGGCGTCGAAGCGTCGCAACCACACGGATAGCCATGAATGGTTATAGCCGTGTGCTGGGCAGTTCCATCGCCATGCCTTCGAAATATTCCAAGAAGGTGTTGACAATTAACGGTGCCAGAGGTGATCACATGGCGATTGTCTCGGTTTGCTAGTAGCATTGTTCGCTTGGCTGGAATGTAGTCGTGGTTGTACAGAAGGGTGTGCCGAACACACCGAACCAACATATGAGGCCGCGTACTGCTGTGCAGGACAGGTCAAAGAGCGATGGAAAGACACTGGAAGGAACATGCATCCCAATAATAAAGTGGAGATACTCGCCTTCTGTGTCACCGCGGTCGCGTTCAGGCTAAACGAACCATGTTACCAGCAAACCGAGAGAATGACCATAGGATCACTTCTGTCACCAGTGATTGCCAGAATCCACATTGAGCATTTCGATGACTTGGCGATGAAAACTGCACCATTTGAGCCGTCACTGTGGCTGCGACACATCAACGACATATTAATTCCCTGCCCGCACCAATAATCCGTAACGGCGTTCCTCAACCGCATAAACAGCTTGCAACAGGTTGTCCAGACCACCACGGAACGAAGGACAAAGCATGCTACCGTTCCTAGACGTTCAAGTCGAAAGGACCGACAATGCATGACAGAAATCGGCGTGTCGGAGCCACAACAGCTACTGGTCTCCACCCGAACTTCTATTCACATGAACCAGACACTGTCAAGAAATGTGTCGTGAAATGCTTTTCTCATTGGGCAGATAGCAACAGCCGTGATGGTGCAGCTAGGAGAGAAATAGCGAACTAACCGAGGCGTTTCGCAGGGATGGATACACAACGGTGTCCTCGATCAGAGGTTCAAAAAGCATGCTGGATAAACTGGACAGTCATAGAAAAACCAGAGAAAACGGCATCGCTGGCTTTACACATAGGCTTGCCAGAGACGATCAAAGAATATGTGCACGATATACACCACAACAGTCTTTAGAAGGAGATCAGCGCTCAAAAGAACACTCACCAAAACCAGACCACCAACACCTATGGAGCGCACAAAAAAACTGCATATGTGACATGCCAGTCACCTGTGGCAGGACCTGCAAATGAGAAGGAAGTCGCCCTCTGTCGGTCAGATAAGAAGAGAGCAGAACGGAACATCCGTTGTGGGACTCGGGGGCCTGGCGTGAAAGAGTGCGCATGGTCAAAGGGCTGTCGCTGATGAGCTTGAGTTCAAGTAACCGTCATCGACAGAGAGCAACACTGGACTCATCTGGAAAATCGAAGGGCACGAACACGTGATGTTGACTGACAACCCCATTAGTACGCCTAACGTTTTCAATTTTGTCAAAAACAACTAAAGTACCTAGGAGATAAATAGAGAGAAGTTCTTACAGCATTATACTGTGCTTACCGGTTAGTTCATTGGTGGAAGCATTGGACTCATCATCAGAGGACACGCCTTTCGAAAACCGGAACTCTTAAGAGACGCATAAGCTGTGCGTACACCATCCAACCGTAAGCCAAGCTGGCACTGGCACGCTTTAAGCTGTCATACCTATGAATAGCAGTATTGCAATGATGCATTTTGACAAATAGATGTATTCATGGGAGTGTTTCACATTTATATGGGGTTTTGAACTGAAATTGCGATATTGAAGACCTATCGGTGCTATTCACAACCCTGCTCTTCCTAACATCTAAGCCCCTCCAGTTTCTGAGCTACGCGTCCACGATCACTCGGGCAGCATTTCGGGGGAGCAGCTCAAAGTCGCCTTGGCATTCATAACGTCAGAACAGCGTCATCCAAATCCTGTCATTCCGTGAGCCATGCGATGATCCAGACCAAAAAATAACACTGTCGAGATATTCATATTTCGCATTCGTGAGCACCATTTCCAGATATAACGACCGTCAGTTAGCTTTCAATGTTTGCCAAAGTACGATGGCGTAATCGAGCCAGGACGCATGAGGAGCATATGTGCCAAATAGAAAATTGCGTTGTCTAGAGCAGTATTTTCCACTTAAAAGCATACCTGTAGTTATAAGTGAGCTTGCTTCATCATACCTGCTGCTTGCTTTTATGTATTTAGATGAGAAACATTCTCTTCAAAGGGAGTGTTCCACATCTGTGTGGGGTTTTGAAATAAATTGTCATTGTTTGATTCAGAAATTATAAGATGGTGCAGTGGTTGTGCAATTTGAGGCATGACAAGTATTAAAAGGAATTAAGATGACCTCCGTACAATAATGATGTACATGATTTAGTCCAGTAGCTTGTATTTTTGCTGATTTTCTAGTTATGGACCTCGCTTACAGAATCAACTATTCAAATATGATAAACCTGTTGTAATGATTTATTTGACATTTTTAATGAGCAAGATCTGGGACCCAAAGTTTGTCAAAAGTAAAGCTTACTTAGCGAATATCATGTATGTAATTATTGTAAGCCGGTCGTCTTAATTCCCTTGTACTAAAATAGCCACTTGAAGTTCACAGTCCCGCCCATCTGAAGACCTAAACCACTCTAGTTTCTAACTACACGCCCGCAACGATACGCAGACTGTTTCAGGGTGACTATCGTAAGGTCACCCAGCATCTGTAATGTTACAATAACATCATTTATTTCCACCCATTCCATTAGCCACATGGCGATCAAGACCGACTAGAACATAATGGTAGAGACGTTCATACCTGGAGTTCGTGATTACGATTTCCAAGTATGACAGCTATCGATCGGCTCCGAATCAATATCGTGCAAGGAGCCCATAACCAAACAATAGCGTATTGAGGAACGTTTTAACTATGCAGTGTTGTCTATGCTATTCAGTTTAACTATGTGTTGTCTGGAGCAGTCTTTTGCAATTAAAAGTATACCAATAGTTATAAGCGGCCTTTTTTGATCTTATGTGATGTTTGCTCAAATGTCTTTAAACTTAGAACATTTCATTTAACAAAGTTAATCTTAACTCAGAAACGTCAGGATTGGCGGATGTTGTGTAATCCTGTATCACGTATGGATGCGGCGTACATTTGCCGTGGTTGTTGGTTTTACGTGTTCATCGCTTCATGCACAAAACCGGTGCTAGTGTGTACTAGCAGCGTGGCGAAATGCATTTCATGTTTTGAAATGCGCGGAAAACAAAAATGCTGAAGGAATTTCAGATGGTTAAGCTTTTCAGAATTTCATCGGACGTAATAATCCAAGTTGCGATCAAAAGGCATGTCGCTGTGCGAAGACTCGCCCCATAGCCAGCCGCCTTGTCGATACGGATCGCCGCTCTGTACCATATCTGGATTACGGACTGCGTGCTGTCGTAGGTGAAGCCGGCGCGGACCCCGCTGCTGGCAATAGCCACCAACCGCCAGGTGCTCATCATCGTGGGAGCCTTCTTCGTCTACCACTGGTTCTTCTACTCGCTTAACATCACGCTGCCGACCTTCCTGAAGGAGACGATGAACGTCGATCTGACAGAAGTAAGTCTCGTAACATTGGCCGTGTCCTGTGACCTTGCTATCCGACACCCTCCGTACGAGGGAAACAGCTACGACTGCGAGAGGACCATTGTAAGCGGCGTCATCAGGTGGACCGTCAGCATGGCCCGAACGCTCCACACACATCAGCACGCAATATTTGGCAAGGTCATCGCCGTTACTGCTAACTCATTTAATTGCATATAATACGCAATTGAAGCAGTCACACTCAAGTCACGCAAGATTTTACTGTACGGTCTGCCTTACATCATCTTATAATCATCATCTTGCTTCATTGGTCGACACCATATCTGAATGAAGCGGTGATTCGATGACGTCGCATGTCATAGCCGTTTTTTGCTTCGCAGAACGGCTCTCTCTCTGGGTTGCCCATCATGTCCATGTCCGTCGGAGTTTTGTTCGGTGGACGGCTTCTTCAGTACCTGATCACTGAACTGCAGTTTGGTCGCACTTCTTCCCGCAAGCAGATGTCTACTTTCGGTGCGTAGTTTTCCATCAGGAAATCCCACATGTTTGGCGTCATTTAATGCTGCAAGTGCGGCTGTGACTTACGGCACATAGATTGCAAAATTTAGTTAAATGCTACTCAGCCTCACCATACCTGACCTGAACCGATTGGGCTGGAACGGACTGGGCCTGACCTGACCTGATCTGACCTGATTTGACATGGCATTACTTGACCTGGCAATGCAGGGCATGACATGACCGTACTCGACTTGACCTGACCTCATCTGGCCTGGTCTGGCTCCAACCGCTTCGTCATCCGGCTTGCCTTCCGTACCGGCTTCATATCCTGCATCCTCGCGACGCCCCGTTTGTCCGGGGCCAGCTGCATGCATCAGCCATGAGTGGGTTGCCCCCTGCCCCCCCCCCCCCCCCCACCGATGCCCACTAGCGGAGACCCCGTCCGAGCGTCGAGCGCAGCCCCGCTCATGGGTCCCTGTGCGGGATAACAGTCGGCGGACGGACCTCAGGCGCATGTAGTTTTACTGGACCATTATCTACTGCCATTCATCTCATTGCTCTGAACTTGTCATCGGTCGTAAGAGTTCTAATCTAAACCAAACCAAACCGACAGCCATGCTGGTGCCTGCTGGGCTGCTCGGCGTCATCCTCGTCCTGCCTCCTGGCAGCACATACACTACCATGGCTCTGATCTGCTTGAGCAACGCGATATTCGTCCTGAACGTCTCCGGCGGTAAGCTGATCCCTCCCCGTCATCACGGCGGAATCAAGCTTTGTTTGCATGGTCTCTGTGGATAAACTGATTCTGAGTGCTGCCAAAAATTAAGCAGTGTCTGCGTAGTAACTGCGTTTTTGAACGAGGCTTTCGAATCGGGCCGAACTGCAGCCGCAGAAAGTATGCCTGACCGTCTCCAAAGGGAGTTGGTTGTGCGCGTTTTATTTCCAACATGCTGAGTGTAGTTTATTGTAATTTAGGCATGCATGACTCATTGCGGGCTTTAACAGAGGACAATACAGTCGTAACTCCACCATCGTGCAAGACGTAGAGCATGGAAGACCCCAGCTGCGCTCGTAACGCCACCTGTGACGGCCACTGACGGCTCCCCGCGGCGTCCATCGCCAGGTCTGCTGTCAGCAGGGCCTGACCTGGGGCCACAGTTTGCCGGCGTCATCTGGGGCCTGGCCGGCTCCGTCGGCAGCCTGACTGGCGTGCTGACGCCGATGGTGGCGGCCGCCATGACCCCGCACGTACGTCAGCGACCATGATGACATAGATAACTGCGCTCTAGCGTACATTAAACTTCACTGCAATAAGCATGCGCCACACGCAGTGCTGCTCCAATGAATTTGTTGCGATCGCTTGACGATACCAATTACAAGAATCATAACAAAAACGGACAGAAAGTAACGGTAAAGGTAAACGGTAAAGTAACGGAAAGTAACACAAACGGTAAGCACCCCGATCTTTAGTCCGAATCGTCACCGAATGCTGACATCGCTAGACGTTCTGACGCAGCAACCGTGCCGAACCATGTCCATTGTCCATCATGTCACAGATGTTTCTCAGTCCCTTGTATGAATGTCCGCGAGACCGCCTTGCCGTCGATACCGTGGCCCTTGACGCCGGCCATTGTGGTCATCTACTGTCTTAATGCTTCAGAAAACCCTGCTGGAGTGGCGCTACTTCTTCCTCATCGCGGTGGTGTTCTTGGTAGCTATGGACTTCGTGATCGTGCTGTTCTGGAAGTCTGAGCTTCAGCCGTTCGCGAGGACTGACGATACGCCACCCCAGCCGTCTGTCCGGTCCCATGAGGACGATCCTCATGAGGACGGTCTACAGATTAGCCACTCGGACGAGGTGTGATCACCACGGAGACGTCTCACTGATCGAAGTCGAAACCATTACGCCACTTTTCGTTGCGTGTTTGTGTGTCTGAGCCACTCATTCATATAACTCACGTCAATGTGATCTGTTGATCAAATGGCTATTCTACAACAAATCTAGCGAAAATAGTTGTATTTCGACACGAAGCCCCCTTAAACTTTGACGAGGACAGGTCTAAAGCGTAACCATAGGGCTAAAACATAATTATGCAAGCTTTAGAGCCGTGCGGCATACCGAAAAGAAACTGGGAGGAGATGAAATTACGCAATATCGTCACGAACCCTTTTCTTCAACTTGATCTAGCAACAACAGTTTGGTGAGAATAGTGCTTGGGAAAAACGCATCGGAAAACTAAATGCCTTTTTCTGAAGCATTGATCAATGTAACATTCAAGGGTAAATTAGGCACATATTGTGGTCTAGATCCACCTTTGACCTTATTTTCTGAAACGCATAGCGTATTTGATTTTCCTTAAACTGGTATGCAGTAAGAGACCAATTTATTGCCATTGATGCTAAAGCAGAGCAATTGATAGGACATTTGTCAGGTCGGTCGAAAATCATATTTGAACAAGGGCGGGTCACGCACGGGGCACGTCATAAGCTGGCCGGCCGGTACCGGGTGACCGGGTGTGATCGGCGCGCTGCGTCGGGCGTGGTGACCGCGGCCTTGAAGCCAAGCGCGACCCTGGTGCAATACCTTGAAAGTGTCTTTAATCGACCTTACGTACCTGTCATCTATCCTCAGTCACGTGGAGGGAGGGAGGGGAAATTATAGCTCAATGGTGTGGCGTGTAGCCATATGTCATCAGCTCCAAAGTCGTCGTTTGTAGCAAGTTGTTTCCCGCATCATTTGTTCCTGTCGGTGATGAGAATATAGCAAAGCAAAGCAAGCAAGTTCAGATTGCTGGCTACTTTTCTGTGTCGTAGGTTCCGTGCAACTGAGTCGTTTGCAGCAAGTTATTTCACGGATCATTTGTTCCTGTCGGTGATGTCAATACAACAAAACAAAGCAAGCAAGTTCAAATTGCTGACTGCTTTTCTGCGCCGTGGGTTTTTTGCACCTCAGTCGTTGAAGTCGATGTTCTGTGCTGCGTTCGTCCCTCACGGAATGACCTCGGATGTGTGAGCAGTTACGTTTATTGATGAAGCTGCACCTGAGGCGTGTTTTCCACAGGATTAATTAGGACTGTAGCTGTGCGTTCTCTTCAGCGTTCGTGCGTTTTTTAACCTTTTCTCTATGCTTTGTTTTGTAGATTTCATCACGTGTGCCATAGATGCAAAGTGCGCCGACGAATGAAAATAAAACGGTCGGGTTAAACTACATGAATTTCAAAACAAATGGCAGGATTACCCGCAAAAAGATGGTGTGTGTGCATATGTAGAACGTAAGCTATAATGAACACGTACAAACTTGTACCTCCCCATATTGTGCTCCGTAGAGCATTTCATAAAATGCGTCCACACTGTATCTGTTAACTCACCAAATAAATGTGATCGGCACAGTTACGAATCACATCAATGTGGCGGCAGGATTTGATCCTGTTTTGGGTGTTGCAAATGTTCATATCCTGTCAGGCGCTAAATGGTGTCCTCACTTCGATGCATGGGTCTTTTCCGTGAAAGGTGGCGAGGAAACGGAATGAATACGTTGACACGTGTTGAGGAAATGGCATTTGTTTTGTATTGGATCAGGCAGCAATAGATGAAGCAAAGATGTTGTTTGTACTCGGTGGAAACTTTTCAGCATGTCTAGCACGTTTCCCTGGCGAGTGTGTACTGCGGCCGTGGAATGGGTTAACCTCTCAGTGATGATACAGATAATTTTGCTGACGAGCTCATTAGCGGTTTTGAAATATGCCACGAATGGATGCATATTGTAAAGACACTACCAGTCCAAAAGAGTTCCGAAACGGTTGCCTGAGACTGTGTCTTGTGCGATGAAATCATAATTTTCGGAAAAGGCCAGTGGCCAATGGACATATGTATCGTTACGCCTTGCGTGACGGCACCGAACTTCCTCCGTGCTTTCTTGAGCTGTAGTGTTTTCAACAGTCCCCCTTACAACGGTGAGCAATGCTATCACGAGTGCGGCGCCGTTGTTATCCTGGCAAATAAACTGAGCATACGTTAAGGAATTGTGCCGGATTTTTATGTGCGAAGTGCTGCACACCAACGCCATCATTACCATTATTGTACCACATTAACACACACAGATGTGCGGCCGGGGCATCAGGGAACGCGCTCACCTCGCCTGTTGAGCACTTGCATGGACAAAAAAATAAAACTGGTCTTACTTGAACGGACTCAATGTCGACAGCCGTAAAGATCATTGCCTGTAATTGCTCGAAGGTGCACATTGGAGTCATGATCGCAAGCATCATGAATTATGAACAAATCATGAATCGCAAAATCATGATCTCGCTAACCGGGCTCCCACTGTCGTGGCTGAGCTCAGTCCTGCAGCTGATTCGGAGCTTGTGGTCATAAATTATGTGGCTTCGACACACTTACCCGTTGACAGAGTCGCATCCGTACTTGAGACGGTGGATAGCTATGCTTCTCCAGCAAGCCGTATGGAGTTAATCCAGAATTTCTACCACACCCTTTCAAGAGAAGTTCTTGTCTTGACGGCTGCCGGTAATTTTGCGCAACTTCTGCTGAATGCTTTGTGGTTCAGATCAAACGGCCTCCCAGTATTCTCAGCTAGGCACGATCATTCTGCATATTTTTAAAAATCCCATTTTCGAAGATGACAAATGATTCGCGGTACACTCACCGTCAAACAGCTTTCTCTGATCTTCACCCAATTTCTACTCGTTCTTTTTATTGAGCATTCCCTGGAGGTACTTGATGAAAGCAGCACAATTTCAGGCGTTCATTTCCCCGACCCCCGCCAGTTAGGCTCTACTCTCACTCGCCCACTCGTGAGCCCCGTCCCGGTTCGTTCGGAGCCGGCGTCGAATTAGACGCGTGCTGTATTGGATACCATGTATGCGATTCCAGGCGTGCTGGGCCGGCACATAAGGCGACTTTGCTTCAGATCCAGGCCAGATTAGGAGAACGAATTGTGCAAAACCAGACCAATCGTTCGCTTTTCCTCGTGTTGACCTTCAGCTCAACTTCACGCAATAATTTTTGATGCACTGTGAGGACTCGGAGCACACGACTTTACCATCTACGCAACGCATGAGAGACGACAGATGCGTCAGATCGCCACGCACTCCTCCTTAACACGCACTCCCCATTCATACATGGTTCTAGGGTTCTGAAAAATGACAGAGTGACTGTTTTAAGATTAAAGTACATATTCTCGAGGTCACAGTCACAGTTCCCGATGAAGTGAGCCGATGGCGCCCGGTCACCCAATGCCGGCCGGTCGGCTCATAGCGTGCAGCTGTGTGTGGTCCGCCAATGTTCAAATTCAATTCGCAACCGATCTAGAGGAGATCCTGTCGAATTCTTTTTTAGTCTGAGCGGCAATAGAATGATCTGCAATTGCATATCAGTTTAAATAGAGGCCCATCTTGAAGAGAGCATAGACATTCATTCGGCTTCCTTGTGCACTTTTCCCAAACATTGTTCTCTGCAAACTGTCTTCGTTACACGAAGTTGAAAAATACGGTTTGTGACGTACGTCACCGCGTAATTTTATCTGCTTCTAGTTCTTTATCGTTACGCCGTGCGGTCCTAAAACTCGAAAGCTAGCATAATCGTGTTTTAGCCGTATACGTACCTCACAGACGTGTTTTGGTCTTATTCGAAGTGAGTGTTGTGTTACTCTGTGGTCAGTTTGTCGTGGAATGCCCCAAACGAATCAAGAAAAAACACTAAATGATCTCTGAAATGCTCAATGGAGACATCAACCCAGAAAAGTACTTTTGAACCAATAAAATACAACAGTTTCAATTTCAAGCAATGTACGAACAGGTTACGTTGTACATAACCCGGCCACATATTCCACACACAAAATGTTGTGGTAAACAAGTCACATTGACGACTTGATATGTAAAAGTAACACTCACAATACAGACAAGGTTTGGTGACGCACATAATATTTGGAGTAGGTTGTGCGATCACCAGAGCCCTAGACAAATGGCCAGCATGTGTATGAAATGTTAAAGCTACAGCGGTCATCTCCGATGTCGGATGGTGGGCGAGATGCACCCCGCTCTTGCACCACGTATTGTGAATACGGGGGCTTCTGTTCGCACTGGTGAGGCACGACAGACGTTACACAATTCGACTAATGTGCTGCTTCATTTAATTACTTATTTAGGGTATCTCTCCTCGCTTGCTGGAAACAATAAAAACGGACAGAATGTGCCGTCTCATAGCCAATACATTTGGAAAACGATGTTTTTATTTGCTTAAATACCACTTCACGCAACTGTGCTTTTCACAATTACAACTAAACGTAGCTTTCATGGTTTCCAGTACAGGGCTATGTGCGAAACAGGAGTATCTGGTAGCATCCGGCAATTCAGCAAAGGGGTTCAAAAAAGACGCAGCTGTTCCATTCTTGGGGATAAAAGAGCATTTACTGCAGGGGAGAGTGGCGCGCGTGGGTTATAGTTTTGATAAAGCCGGTAATCTAGCAGGAAACCATGGATGCAGTTGAGGCTGTTTGATTAGTTCGTTTGTCTGACAACAAATGCACACATGGCTTGTGATGTATGAGGCGAGATGGTCGTTTTATTTATTCAGAAGGCGTACTAGACGAGCGTCGTCCGTCGTCGTCGTCGCCAGCTTGTGGACTGCGCACCGCTGAAATTGCTGAGTGCAGGTAGATATGTTTCACTTAACCTGAAGTCTGAAGGAGTTAGATAACGCGCTTATGCTTTGAGGTCTTTGAAACTAGAAGCGATTTTGACCCCTGTGATGCGGTGGTGTTTGTAAATTATTGGCCGAGACAACTGTGAAATTAATCATGATATGATGAGCTTTGTTTGTCCCGATGCCCGTGCAAAATTACATTCCCAACATGGAACGAGCCATGTAAGATATCTTTGGTTTATGTCAACGAATTGCCATCTTTCCAGTGGCAATGAGTAAATAACATAAACTCAAAATACTCAAATGATGCTTCAAGAGCGCTATTAAGATTTTGAAAGTCCTTAACACGGACGCGGATTGGCACGGATTGGTTCATACATTTCTATGATAGGTCGGACTGGATTGAATTGGCTTCGAAATTTGTGAAAAGCGCATTGGTGGTTGGCTTGGTTGTTGGCAAGACAGGCTCGACGGCATCGAGTGCTGAAAATTTAATCCGTGAAGTGATCTGGTGCTGAGTGTATCGTTGGAACAGCCAGGAGTTGCCCTACGATTGCGCTGGTTGTGTGGGACAATTACTTATGACTGACCTCGACAGTCATTCCGTTTTTCCGTGGCATTGCATCTCATGATGTCGCAGGCCTTATGCGGGTTTAGTCATGTCTCAGAACAGGCCTACATCGTAGAGCATCTCTCCACCACATGGCCGTGCGTGGGCGCCGTCTGATCGTTTGTGAGTGAGTGACCGCTTGTAATCGCGTGTGAATGTTAGTGGCATCGGTGTTCGGGCACAAAATGCCGTCAGAAGAATCTAAAGCCAACTCGTTTCGTTGTATTTACCCATGACGCTATGATCCACGCTGCTAGACATTCGATATTTTCACAGCCCACTTGTTTTTCGGAATGTTTCAGCTCGTTGCAGCGTCGTGTAGTCAACCCTAGAGGCCTCCTCTACTCCGTCTCAAGAAGAAGCAGATCATGGGCGGGCGGCCCTGCCTCCGTCGTCACTCCTCCAAACAGCCGTCGGAGAGCGGGCGGTCCTGCCTCCGTCGTCACTCCTTCCAATCAGCCGTCGGAGAGCGGGCGGTCCTGGCTCCGTCGTCGCTCCTTCCAATCAGCCGTCGGAGGGCGGGCGGTCCTGCCTCTGTCGTCACTCTTTCCAATCAGCCGTCGGAGAGCGGACGGTCCTGCCTCCGTCGTCACTCCCTCCAATCAGCCGTCGGATCACAGAGCGGCGCAACGGCTTCCTGACTTTGATCAGTGGGACGTCTCCGTGGTGATCACACATCATCCGAGCAGCTGATCTGTGGACTGTCCTCATGAGGATCGTCCTCATGGGACCGGACAGACGGCTGGGGTGGCGTATCGTCAGTCCTCGCGAACGGCTGAAGCTCAGACTTCCAGAACAGCACGATCACGAAGTCCATAGCCACCAAGAATACCACCGCGATGAGGAAGAAGTAGCGCCACTCCAGCAAGGTTTTCTGAAGCATGAATGCAGCCGTTGGTCACGATGGCCGGTGTCAGTGGCCACCGTATCGACGACAAGGCGGTCTCACGGACATTCGTACAACGGACCGACAAACATCTGTGACATGACGGACAATGGACGTGGTTCGGCGTCATAGCTACGTCGGAACACCAGGCGGTATCTGTATTCATCAACGGTCCAGACTCAACTTTGGAGTGCTTACTAGATTTTGTTCATTTTTGTTGTGGTTCTGGTACTTGGCATCACCAAACGGCCCCAACAAATTCATTTCAGCAGAACTGCGCATGGCGTGCACGTAGGTCAATAAAATGTCTCACAGGGCCTTCTAATTCGTGTTCCTGCCAGCTTACCGAGGCGGTCGTCATAAGAGTCGCATATTGGAAGCTAGCTGTGTTGATATACTTAATCATCTGTCTTCTAACTAAATAATGGCATGATGCGTTTCGTCTTACTGTCTTGTGCTCAACCGCAACGCAGATCGGAATATTATTTACGTTGCAGTATGCTTAGAACCAATTCATGGCAAAATGCAATTGAAACTTCCAACATCTCAGGACTTCGACCAATCGGAGGCGTATCCCATTAGCCCGGCTTATCTTTCTCACAGAACCCCTACATCTCTCACCGGACATCCCCCCCCCCCCCTCCCGTCCCCACACCGGTGCCCGACCCTCGTGGCGGTCGGCCACGGGCGCTGACGTACGTGCGGGGTCATGGCGGCCGCCACCATCGGCGTCAGCACGCCCGTCAGGTTGCCGACGGAGCCGGCCAGGCCCCAGATGACGCCGGCGAACTGCGGCCCCAGGTCAGGCCCTGCTGACAGCGGCCCTGGAGATGGACGCCACGGGGAGCCGTCAGCGGCCGCTACAGGTGGCGTTACGGGCCAGGTGGAATGCATAAAGCGTGGAACTGACCTCACGAGGGGTGGGGTCCTGCATGCTCTGCGTTTTGCGCCGTGGTGGAACTACAGTTGTGTTTGCTTCTGTTGAATCTCGCAGTTAACCATCGCTCCCTGAGCTTGCAGTAAATTAGTGTGAGTATATCGAGAACACTACCTGCGCCAACAATTCAGTTCGGAGCCGGTCAGGTTATTACCGTTGTATTTCACCTTCACTTAAAATCTGTGTTCAAAAACGTCAGTGACTGTACAGAATCTGCTTAACTTTTGACAACACTCAGAATCGGTTTACCCGCAGAAACCACGCAAACAAAGCTTGATTCCGCCGTGAGGACGGGAAGGGATCAGCTTACCGCCGGAGACGTTCAGGACGATAATTGCGTTGCTCAAGCAGATCAGAGCCATGGTGGTGTATGTGTTGCCCGAGGGCAGGACGAGCATGGCCCCCAGCAATCCAGCAGGCACCAGCATGGCTGTTGGTTTGGTTTGGTTTAGATTAGAACCCTTTCGGCCGATGATAAGTTCAGAGCAATGGGAATAATGGAAGTAGATAATGGTCCAGTAAGACTATATGCTCCTGAGGTCCGTCCGCCGACTCTTATCCCGCACAGGGACCCCTGAGCGGGGCTGCGCTCGACGCCCGGACGGGACCTCCGCTTGGGGGGATTTCAGCTCACTCATGGCTGATGCATGTAACTAGCCCCGGACAAACGGGGCGCCGCGAAGATCCAGGATAAGACGAGAGGAAGGAACGCAGGCGCTGTGGGATGGCTGTTGGTAAAAGAGATCAGATCAGGTCATGTCAGATCAGATCAGGACGCTTTAGGCCATGTTCGGTCCGGTCTGGTCAGGTCCGATCCGGCCCAGTGTGGTGAGACATTTACCCAAATTTACTACATATAAGCCAAAAGTAGTAGCGGCCCTCGCAGCATTCGAAGACGTCTTACATAAGGAAGTTGATGATGGAAAACTACGTACCGAAACTAGCTATCAGCTTGCGTGAGGTCGTGCGACTGAACTGCCATCTAGTGGTGAGATACTGAAGAAGCCGACCACCGAGCACAACTCCGATCGAGCTGAACAAGGTGGGCAAGCCAGAGAGGAGACCGTTCTGCGAAGTAAAAAACGGTTATGATACGCGACGTCATCGAACGACCATTTCGTTCAGATATGGCGTCGGCCAATAAGGCACGTTGGCAAACGCAGGTTATGTCATGTAAGGCGGACGATACAGTGGAATTTTGCGTGACTTGAGTGTCACTGCTTCAATATAGCGCTATATGCAAACAAATGACTTAGTATTAACGGCGATGACCTTGCCAAATATTGCGTGCTGATGTATGTGGAGCGTTCGGGTCATGCTGACGGTCCACCTGATGACGCCGCTCGCAGTGGTCCCCTCACGATCGCAGCTGTTTCCCTCGTACGGAAAGTGCCGGATAGCAAGGTCGCAGGACACAGCCAAGGTCACGCGGCAGGTCAACATCGCGCAGCACGGCCAATATTACGAGACTGACCTCTGTCAGATCGACGTTCATCGTCTCCTTCAGGAAGGTCGGCAGCGTGATGTTAAGCGAGTAGTAGAACCAGTGGTAAAAGAAGAAGGTCCCGACGATGATGAGCACCTGGCGGTTGGTGACTATTGCCAACAGCGGTGTCGGCACCGGCTTCACCTACGACAACAGGCAGTTGGCAATCCAGATATGGCACGGAGTGGCGATCAGTATTGACAAGGCGGTCGACTATAGAGTGATTCTTCCCAATCTCGCACTTAAATGTCTTTCTGTCGCAAGTGGGGTTTAGGATAATCCAAATAACTTAACGCGCGCCCCGGGTGACGGTTGAATGCCCTTCGCTGGGGTGAGGGTCAATTTGGCCCCATTGAGATGTCATAAAGAAAGCTAGCTCAAGACACCAAATTCACCGGGTGGGTTTGCCTGTACGTGAGCTCACTTGCAACGAAATTTGATGTTCCTAGGTTATGACCTTGGGGTCAAACAAGGTCAAACAAGGTCAAATTCCAGATTGGTCTCTCAAGTGTGCCTAAGTCTCATCATGCAACCGCCGTGAAACTAGATACCTGTTTTATGCAGGATGTTAATGGTGTCCATTTAAGGTCAGTGACATTGCTTGACCTTTATAATTGCAAGAGGACCAAATGCCTACGACATGTAATTAAAATATTCGACATGAGCACCAGCAACTACTCCAGAAACCAAGCTCTCGAGTAAAAATGCAGAATAGTTTTGCCCTCGGTCTGTCCTTCATGCCTGACCCCAGGTCAACAGAGTTGGTTGCAATTCTAAAGTCAGTTGATTTACTGTCAACGAACTATTTCACATATGCGTGGCTTTGTCTAACACTTTGTTGTTACATCACACTGAATGATTCCCGTAGAAATGCCCGTCACCGACAGCCATGACCTGAATTGGACCTACCATAAGTCAGCGACCTCACAAGGCTTATCTAACTGTTTTCACATTAAGCCGCCCGCTATTCGATTCTCGACAGTTAACGTTCTTAAATCATTCTGGAAAAATCGTTGAAAGGGTAAGTTTGATTACCTATTCCCATCCGAGGGCATGTGTGTTAGCCATCTAAATTCATTTAACATTTTTATTTCTCGCACATTTTCAGATAACGCATGCCTTTGGCCACGTTGTAGCTCCATAGTATGGCCATCTTTAGGCATGAATGAACAGACACGCTACTTCCTCATCCAAAACCACAGAATATGTATGCCACGTCCCTATACGATAAAGAACTGCGGAATCATACCTGTTAAGCAGCTAAGAAGTCAGCCGTGCAACAACTTTGTTTATGCCTTATAACTTCGGGGACGAGTATGTTTGGACATTGCCCCCGTCTAGTTTGTTCGTACCGATGCAGCGCTTCGGCCACTAGCTCAGGCGTCAGGTCTGACTGAATTCTGCGACAACTCTGTGGGCGTCACTGCAACCAATACGCCACAATCCAAATTTCTCCTTGATACTGCCGGCTTTCTAACAGCTGTATGCTGAGCATGAGTCCAACGTTCCAACACTGAGCTAATTGTGCAAGATGATCTAATGGTGTAAGAACCTTCTGACATTGATCTCCTGGATGCTTGAGTTTTTGAGAATTCAAAGTCATATTGGGGTGACGTCTACACTTGGCTTGCTGGTGGGGTTGTTACCCAATGTCATATCTGCTGCCTCCTTGATCTTTCTGGATTTCCAGTGTTGCACCCTTCGATGATAGTTATCCCATCCCATGCTGGTCAGTGATTGTCTTTTGAACATGCGCCTTTGCTTCACCAGGCTTCCAAGTCCCACACCGGATGTTTTCGGTTCTGTTCTCTAATCCGACGCTCAGACGGCGACTCGTGTCTCTTTTGCAGGTCCTGGCACAACTGCCCGGTATGTCGCACATGCAGTTCTTTGCTCCTTAGGTGCCGATAGTCTGATTTGTGTACGCGTTCTTTTGAGCGCTGATCTTCTGTTGAAGACTGCCCTGATGTGTTTTGTCCACAGATTCTTCAGATTTTCTCCGGCAAGTCCATGTGCAAAACTAATGATATCGCAGGATTATGTCCTTAGACTGTTCACATTTTCCAGCATGCTCTTTCAACTTCTGTTAAGGAGACTTTTTCGGTGTCCGTGCTTGCACAATTTCTCGGTCAGGTGGTTATTTCTCCCCTAGATGCGCCATCATAGCTGTTGTCAGTCACCCGATGTGCAAAGCATCCCGCGGTACATTTCCTGACGGTGCCCAGTTCATGTGACCAGACGTTCGGGTAGTGACCAGTTGCTGTTGCGGTCCCGGTGCACTAATTTCTGGTACGCTTTCTTGGTTCTTTCGACTTGTACGTCTGGCAGCGGTAGCCTGTTGTTGCCTCCTTTCCATAGTGATCCGGACAACCTGTTGCAAGCTGTTTATGTGGTCGAGGCACGCCATCCCGTTTTTGGTGTGGGCAGAGGATGAATATGTCGTCGATGTATCGTGGGCACGGCGAAGGCTTAAGTAGTGCACTTTCCATCACCACGTCATCGAAATGTTCTTCGCAGATTCCGGCAATCACTCGTGGCAGAGGTGATCACATGGCCACTCCCTCGATTTTCTGGTAGCGTTGTTCGTTCAGCTGAGGTGTGGCCGTAGTTCCTCAACCACGTCAACAGCTTGCGACAGTTTATTATAGACAGCTCACCAAAGTTCTCATCTAGTTAACTATGGAACGTGTCAACAATAAAAGGCTACCGTTCCCAGTCATAAAAGTCGGAAAAACCAACAGCAGATGCAGGACATTGCCACGGCGGAAAGAAACAGCACCTAACTACCTGACCACCTAACCGAAACATTCTGGAGGACCGGAATCCCAAGGAGCATGCCGGAAAAAAGGGCAGTCGAAGGAGAAACCAACGACAGGGATATCGTTACGACAATGACTTGTCAGAGAGATCCAGAGAAATTTGTACCGATAAGTAGCATTAGAGCAGTCCTTTCTGAAGTAAATAGAAGCTCGCAAAGAGCATGTGACAAAGTCAAACCACCGACAAAGAGGAAACATATGACAAATTGCAGGCACAGCACGCCACGCAGCTGTGGTAGGTCCTGCGATGAAAAGAACCAGTCGCCTTCTATCGATCAGACTGGAAGAGCACAGAAAGCCAACTGTCCGGTTACGGACTCTAAAGTCTGGCGCGACAGAGCGTATGTGGTGAGAATTCGACCACCGACCCGCTTGAGTTGAATCATCATCGACAAAGAACAACTACGGAAAGTCAGAAAGGTCGAAGAGTCGGCACATATGACGTGGATAAGCAGCACCATCAGTAATCCATGGTGCTGTAATCAGTACTCCAATACGGCTCTGAATTCTACGAGAAAGATAATAATATCCAGGAAATGATTAAAACTCAGTTCGAACATAAAAATAATCCACCTGGTTAGTTTCGAGCTAGAGCGCAGGACTCGTGATCAGAGGAGCCCGGTTCAACCACAGCAACTCCAATAGAGACATGTGGACAACGATGCATGCGTCGCTGAAGGCGAAACACTATTCAGTTGTTCTCACTGACATTTACCAACATCCGGAGAACTAAGTGCATGAAACGCTGTCATATACGAATACATCAGACTGGGACAATGGCCCGAACAATTATCATATTTGCGATACCAATGTGAACAATTATCATATTTGCGATACTAATGTGAACAATTATCATATTTGCGATACCAATGTCTTGTATAAGTAATTTCATAAACGCAATATAAATTCCAGGAACAAAAAGCTCCCGCCGTCTGAGCTTGGACGTATGCGCCTTCAAATGTCTGAGATACGCTGGTTAATGGCAAAGCCACCTACCTTGGGTCGGGTTAAAATTACATTTTAATAGGTCGACTTGCGTGTTTACTTTCCGACTCTGTTTCACAGTAATGTATGGTTTTCTTTGAGGCGGGGCCTTGTTCATAAATCGTAATATGAGTTCTTAACTTATGACAGCCCAACACCAAACATTCGTGGTCCCAACTGATGACAGACGTATCAGATTAGCACATGGTAGCAAAACCACTTTGATGCATTGGGAGCTGTTCGACAAGTTAGGTGCCCCAAAGAAAACTTCTGCTTTCGGATATGGCTTATTTTATGTTACTAGAACATGGCGGATCAAAACCAGATTAAGCCCTGCTAGGTCCTGCTAATGCGACATGACGCAATCGACAGCTAGTTGCTGTTTTAGCCCTTTTGTGGACAAGCTTTATGATTTGAATGCTCATCTTACTGATAATTACGTTGACTTCATAGTCCATTAATATTTCCAGTCATCCTATGCTACATCTTTTTGCTGCAAAATCCACTCAGCATGGAGGATTAACTGTATAAAAGGAGATATGATTCATGAACTACTCACTGAAATTGTCGCACGTGACATCTGCGCTCATTGAGGCTGGCACCTTGTTCTCTGCTTCCTGCCCTTCCATGACCTTCGAAACACACATAGTTTCGACTGAATCCAGCTTTGTGGATTTGGGTAAATTTGTCAAAATATCATGTTAATCTGGTTAAAGTTATCGCATATCTCCGAGCACTCCAAATAAGTTACTGAACGCTTTTACAGGTAAGCTTCCTCTCGCGCCATCCACCTATCTTCGGGGCTATGCCCATGCCCGCCAGCCACACAATCCTAATCACTTGTTCCCCACTGTTGTGCTACTGCTGTACTCCCGAATTCTACCGTTGCACAGAACTTCAGTCTAAAGCATCGACAACTGTCAGGAACGTTTTCATCCAAAGGCACTGCTTTGCGTTGAAAGCTGCAGCAGTGGTGTGAATTGACAGAGCTATAACGGCGTGAGGGGAAAGCAGTGCCATTGAGACAATTTCTTGCAGTATTTACCCGTGATTTAGTAAACAGCTTACTGATAACAACACCAATACCTACAATTTTTTGAAAATGTGGGCCCATCCAACCAATTGCCCATTTCCTCTAGATATCCATGCGTTTACCCTGCTTGTCAAGTCCTTAATTATTCCATTATGTTAATGATATGTCCGCCATTAATGATATGCTGGCGCCTAAATGATTACAAACGTGCGAGCTTTTAGAGAAGTCAAAAATTTTCCAAATCTGACTAAAGCAATGAATCTAGGCCCATGTGAAGGCTGCCGTCTATGTTTGTAACAAGCGCTACATCGTTCCCCTGCATCCAGCATCAATTTCATAAACATTCGTGATTTTTCATCAGACGATGGCACATCTACCGAATCCCACGAAAGGTTGTCTCCAGTAAACGGCTACAACTGCAAGGGGCTACAGTGGCAAAATACGGGTGTTGATCAGCATGAAACAAAAACAATATACAGCCGGACCAAGAGATACCTAAATAATTAAACTGTGTCCTAATTAACGCCAAAAATATGTCGCTGAGAAGCATCATCTTTGATCACCAAACCCACAGTAATCTGGGCCGACCACGGAGTCACTGGGCCTAGCCAGTAATATGGGCCCAGTCAGTAATCTGTGCTGACCACGGAGTCACTGGGCCCAGCCAGCAATCTGGGCTGACCACGGAGTCACTGGGCCCAGCCAGTAACCTGGTCTGACTACGGAGTCACTGGGCCCAGTCAGTAATCTGGGCTGACCAAGAAGTCACTGGGCCCAGCCAATAACTAGCTCTGCTGCAAGGAACACCGGAGTCCAAGAAGTGACAGATACCTGCACGATTAGCTCAAAAACGTCACTTTTGTTTGGTCACAGGAGACCTGCGGTAATCACGACACCAAGGCTCAGACTGGCCAGCGGCCGCAATGTCGTTTTCACACTAACCTGTTTGTCCGACAAGGACTTTATGGTAGCAACCCGACACAGCCGGTGGGATGTCAGGAACCTCTGCTCGTCCTCCGAACATAGCCGACTCTCATCAGGACAGGTGGGGACCAGAAACCACGCCACCAGTACCCAGGCTAACGGCAGAGCACCTGGCGGAAGCACGAACAGACCGGGTTACTGACAGCGCTCATGGAGGCGGCCACGCGGAGACCGGGCTACTGGCAGAGCACCTGGGAACGTACCACGGAATCCAGGCTGTTGTAGCCCATCTGGGGGCGTAGTGGTCTAAACTACCGACAATGCACAAGGAGGCGTCCCACGGAGCCCCGGCAATTGATAGCGCACCTGAGGGCGAACTATAGAGTCCGAGCTACTGGCAGTGCACACCGGCACACCAAGGACTACGGAGTCCAGGCTACTGGTAGAGCACCTGAGGGGTACAATAGAGTCCAAATTATTGGTAGCGCATAAGGAGGCGTCCCATGGGATCCAGGCTAGGGATTGCGCAGCTGGGGCGAGCCAATAGTCCAGGCTAGCAGCAGCGCACACGGAGGCGCACCACAGAGTCCAGGTCATTGACACCGCACCTAGTGGGTAGAATAACGCAGAGTCCATGCTATTGAAAACGCACATGACAGCGTGCCGCAGAGTCCAGACCGTTGTCAGCGCGCGTGCGGGTGATTAACCACGTGCCCGGGTGATAACGATGCCGACAGGGGTGTCACTTTAAAAAGTGGGTTGGGGACCCAGCCGATAATTTTGACCTAGCCTACCCGAAAGCCTGACTTTTACAGGTTTCTGCCGCGCCAATTTGCGCCCCTCATGTCAAAGATTGGTTTTATGTAGAAGACTACTCTCTGGTCAACGAAATAACGGAGGACGTTTACGTACGTTTCCTGTGTCATGCTCCCAGAGCGGCTGGAACCATTGCAACAGACGGAGGAGGGGACGGGATTGGAGCAGTACGGCTGGGCCAGCCGGTAATGGGCTGGGTGGCGGGCGAGGCCAGTCGGGAGCGCCGCGCCGCGCTGTTCCGACCGGCCAGGATCGCATCCGCACAGCGCGAGTGAACAGCGAATCCATATTTTCTGTTGAGAGTTTTCAACGTAGATGCACAGGTCAGTTTCGAGAATAGAACCCTCTGGAGACTAGTGTCTGATGACTGCAATGTATCACGGAGTTCAGCAGTTGAGCATTTGTTGTAGATAGGACGCTAAATGAATAAGGTTGCAACTCATTTGGTCCTTTTCTATAGCACCACTCAAAGCATGACGTGGGCTACACAACTCCGTTTTTTAACTACAAATATGCGCTATGGCCGTAAAGTCACCACACTTGTACTAAAAAATCATCATCACCACATCATTTTCTGCCGGCAGCTCCGATGGAAGCGGCTGGGGGCGAGGTGCCTTGAGCTCTTAAGCTTAAGCTTAAAAGACTAGAATCGTCAAAAAATTGTGATCAAGGCACGACATGACCCTACAGACCAAGTCTTCACAAGATCTGAGATGCTGGTATGATCTCGACTGATTGAATTGGCGTAGAACGACTCGCAGCATATCGAGCCTGTGAAGTAAAAGACGAACGAATAGTCGCCGTGCCTGCAGGCCCGCGCCTGCGCCGAGCCGCCGACAGGGCGGTCAGATGACGTCACATCTCACCGGTGACGTAGAAGACGAACGGCCAGCCGCCATACTCGCACAAGGAACTGCTGATGGGAAAGCTGAAGCCGGCGAAGATGTACTGCAGCGACCAGGCGATGGAGAAAAGAGTGGAGTACTCGTCGGGGATGCTCCAGTTCCTGATAAGCACCACGCTGGCCGGCAGGACTACAGACTGGAACAGCACCGGCCCGGTGTTGACGTCACAACGCTGACGTCACATACGGCTGTCGGTGAAGCGTTCCCTTCCCACCCATGATGAAGTATGTGCAGTTACTTACACAGGTGAAGCCTTGTGCTGCCCTCAGTGCAAGAAGCAGATAATCTTTGGTTCTGGCGACGATGGGGAAGAGCAGTGTGGCCACTGCCTGGGTGACAACGCCGAACATGAGCACCAGCTGGGCCGGCAGTCTGTGGCACACGTAGGTGAACATGAGCACAAGCTAGGCAGGCAGTCTGCAATGACAGGCACACGTACAAAGTTCTTAGACCCAGGCTCAACAAGTCGGCTGGCTTGGACGCAGACGTTATAGCCAACACTAGCAATACGGGCGAAGCAGAGTATGATGAACAAGGCTTTGATGGTCAAACACAGTGCACCCAGAGTATAGTTTCGTCAGCTTGTTGAACTGCCTAACTTAACCGCCGTTCTCTCGGGATACGACGGCAGAGATGGGAGTTTTTGTCTCCCAACACACCACCGTTGCATTACAATGCATTGTCTCCTACACCTGCATGGCCTGGTAAGCATCAAGCACCAGCCCCCATGCCAGCCAGAGGCGTGCCCTGTGGGGGCGGTGAGGTGAAGGGAACGATATCGCTCAGGCACCGGAGGACAACGCTAAACAATTCTCATTTGTATATAGTCCTTATGCCCGAGGTTACAGTTACAGGTTACAACGGTTACAACGGGTCCAGCTGGTTTGATCATCAGGTGCCAGATCTGGCTACAGCCTGCTACCATTTGACGACAATCCTAGCTTTCGAGTCAAGCCAATATCCCCATTAACAGGAGTTAACGGCTGCGTCTAAGCGGAACGAAAGGTCGCCAACGAACAGAGCCGGCTTTATTTACCGCTAATCGGACCTCGGCCAGGCGTTCTCGCCAAACTTCTGAAAGCGCCATTGCTTAGATTTCACAGGCATAATTATTATTACCGACCATTTCACGAACACTGACACCAAATCGACGACATAACACTGCGCTTGGATATTGTAAAACATAGGCAAAGATTCATATCAGAATAGCCGTTATTCGAAGGAACGCGAGCACTCAACAAATTTGGCAAAAATGCTGTTCCAGCGTTTTTAGTGACTGATTGGGTGCTTTCCATCTTACTTCGGCGGAGGAGTGTGTGGGGGGGGGGGGTGGGGGGGGGGGGGTGACAAACTTCTTGCGTCTACCCATGATATGGGATAAGGTAGTGTTAGTAACTAACGTTATCAAGTTATTTTATATTTATGACCGTCGAAGACGTCCACCAGATAAACACCTTTAAGTCAAGCCATTGTGCAAAAGACTCAATTGCGGTTACTTACACCGTAGACACCCTTTTCAACAATTTGGTGGCCCTGGCATGGGCATTGATTTGTATTACTTTATGAGGGCCTTGCTCCCCTTCCCCCAATGTTGGTTGGGTCCTCCTTCCAATCCTGGCTTGGGCCACCAATATTTTTGGCTAGAATATTAGCCTTTTATGATGAATTAATGGAATAAAAAGCTCTTAAGTTGTTGATGCCTTCAAGAAGCTTTAGTATGTAGTCTTGATACTTTGACAAGGGAAATATTGTTTCCATGTAATTCCATCAAGATGCAATAGTCAAATCACATGTATCTAGCTAGGAACAATTTTTTTATATCATTTAGAAACACTTATGGACATTTCTTCTGCCCATGCCTTTAGTTCACCCATATTCTGGAGAAAAAGAATACTATGCCTGGCAATCAGCAAGGTGCATCGGTCGAGGGCGCTGGATGTCGGTAGCCCCATTATTATTTACATCGGTGCTGTGTGAAGCGAGGCGGGCTCTGAGGACCATTTCATACAATCATCATTTATTTTGGATCATGCCGCGGTGTGTACGCCCTGTAAGCTCCGCAAATACTAGGAGCAAGCTCTGCACGTGCTGTAAGCGCCGTACGTATTGTACGTCCATGAACAGGGACGCTGCAAGGATATACAATTTTATCGTCGTGTTTGCGTTAGATGTTTGTCGTGTCTGCCACCGAAGTTTTCGATAGGTTTTGAAAAGTTTCGATAGGAAGAGATCTAGCATCATGTTTGGTACTTTTTTGTTGTTTAATCTCTTTTAAACATTGCATAAGTTGGTGAGTGCATTTGCGAGGAGCATTATGCATCTAGATAAGACAAAAGCAATAGCCTCAGTCCTCATATTTTGACTCTTAAATGTCGACCGCGACACTTTTTCTCCACACAGCCCAAACATGGTATTAACTCCACTGCTGGTCTCGCGAAGAATTTTGTGTTAAGCAACATTTGCTCAGGTCCATGGTAAGTAACGTCTCATGAGAAACCAAATCGGATATGAAAATTTGTGTTTGGGGGGGGGGCGACATCGTCTAAATTGGGCGGAGGGCAGTCTGTTAAGCCCTTAGCTCGCCTCCACCAATCATTTACAGTTATTGATACCTTTGGGTTCTGATCATTCAGCTTGCCCGCTCTATGTGCCACGCCTTACATAAACGCCGCAGCTCCTCCAGACACCGTGGCACACGACAGAAGCCGCTGCGCACCGCTGCGGCGTCGAAATGCATCAGCGGCTGCAGCAGCGGGCAGCCGCTGCGCCCGCATAGACAGATCTGAGCCAGGCACAGCTTACGCATGAGCTGGCAGCATCGCCTGCTGCCGGCTATATCCGTCCACCCTCGACAAAACCCGCCCGTGGCAGTGGTACAGGGTTACGGCGTAAGCCAACGCTCAAGGAACCAAGTAGGCTAACGACGGACGTGCCGCTATCGTTCGCAACAATGCAAACGTAAGCGTCACCGAGGGTCACTGGACTGAGCTTAATGGCCTTTTTCTTTATTTCCTGTCACATGGTGCGGCAGGACTTTTTCAACTAAGAAATATTTTTTTAGAGTGGAAGGATTTCTTGGATTTGGGCTCAAGTCAAGCGGTGTTTGTTGTGCGAGGCCTGGCTGCTACCATCCGATCGTGAAACTTCACGTCAAGGACAGAATTTGGCCAGGCTGCTACCATCTGGGCGTCAAATTCCACGTCAACGGCAGAATTCGGCAGCGTACGTTGACGGTGCCACAATCCTCGCCACGAACCATGCTGCGCTCTGATGTCACCCGAACTTAAACAAACGCGACCACTGCCGACGGCCGCAGGCCATTCCTATCAGTAGGAAATAACGAGCGCTTATAGCGACCCAAACCCACCCTGCCACGGGTGGGAATATCGGAAAACAGGCGTTCTTGCCAGCTGAGCTATAGGGACGGAGTTTACGCAGGAAGAACAACGGTCATGTGGTTCAAATCTGAACAGACCGACACCGGCTGCACGGACAGGACCTAAGGCCCGCGCGCACTATAGTTCCAGAGCACTTGAAAATTCATATAAGATGCGTGTTAAGGCGCGATTGCCGGTGTGGTGTTCCAATGTGGTTGAGACGACAAATGTCTTCCAAGATTCATTTCCGTGTCCATTTACGGGCCAAATCATCTACCTCCCTCGTCGCCGTCACGCTCGTCATCATCGTCGTCAGCTGACCTGTCAGCCACCCAGCCACCGGGTGCCAGCGCTGCCGTGTAGCCGTAGAAGTAGCTGGATAACAACAGGCCCTGGAACGTCTTGTCCCAGTGGAACTCGCCCTGCAACATTGAGGATATTCATCACGTTAGAAGCACCTGGCTGTGTTCACGTTGAGCTTTTGATTTACCCAGACTTTTCAATGTATTCCAGGAAAACAATGGACAGGAAAGGCATACAAAATTACCAACGTAGATTTTGCGCCCAACACTATTTAGTGAGGGCTCTCTTCCCCGTGTGCACATTGTACACCGCTAGTCTTTACCACCCTAACCAGTTGTTGTCATTAGATTTACAACACAGCAACATGCTGATGCACTGGGCCGTCATCTGCCCCACATGAAGGGTGGCGCCGCTGGGAATCGAACCCAGCACTACTGGTTTTCCAGACGCGCATCTTAATTACTACGCCGTGGCCACCGACTACCGGCCACCCTCACCTGGCCCTCCTTGAGGCCTGCCGTGGACGATGCGTTCCCGGTGCCGCCCATCTGCTCGCGCGGGTGGGACGCATTCCAGGGGTCGTCCCGAATGCTAACCGACGGTGGCTCCACGTCCGCCACCATGCACACGACAGCAATGCTGACGTTGTAGCGGTTGATCATCACGGTGCCGGCGCCGAGACCGGTCATCAGGATGACCAGCAGTCGCGTCGAGGGTACCAGGCGGTCTGCAATATTAACGGCAGCGTCGGGCGAGCGTGGAATTCTGCGGTCGGAGCCATTCGAGGCCAGAGCCATGGCGGAGCAATTGTTTTTTTCCAGCGTGCTGCACTTCCAGCTAAAACTATAGCTCAAGTTGTCTTGTGTTCTGAGAACAGCACAATGGACACTTGCCAAGGGGCACAATTTTACGTGCATTTCGGGCCATGGGGTACTTCAGTGGCCAGTCAGCATCGTTACTAAACCGAAGCAGAGTAACGTCGAAGCACCCGTGCAATAAAGTTATCAACATCTGTCATATCACTGCTTCCAAAACCACTACAAACTGAGCTACCTCCTACCTAAAGCTGCAGACTGGCTGTGTATTGTCGCGCACCGTCACTGTAAGCTGAAATCGGTTGCGGCCGTCACAGCCCTAGGTCATAAAAACACGTTTGTCCTTTCCCCGCGAAACAGGAGAGCGATAAGTGATTACGAACGTTAGCGCGGGCCAAGCGAATATGGTCTGAATAGTAAGAATGCCTCGAATTTGATCGGCGCGGTCGTGTTCGGCCATTACGCTTTCCGAAGCAAATCTTTTTACAGTCACTGGGCGCGCTTCCATGCTGTTTCTAGTAACAGGAAGCGCAGCTATTTAAACTTAATGTCGCTTAGATGCTTCGGCATTGCGTGCAAGCTGTTCCAACAGGCGCTGTTTGTCTGTGACACTGCAATGCGAACAAAACGTAGCCTTTGCATCCCACGATCATGTAAAATGTAAGGTTCAACAGCCGCGAAACAAAGCTCCACACGACTAGCAACTGGAGCCAGATTTCGACGAGCCAATGTCGCAGTGATGCAGGACTAGTACATTTTGACAGGAAAGAGAACGGACTAGCGTACTGGCAAAAGTGAGAGCTGATTTGTGCAGAAGGTCACGTGCTCTACGCCGTGCAACCAGAGTCCGCCCCCTGGGAAGCGCTGTTTTTTTTAAAATGTTTACGTTACGGACATACAGCTTCAACTTTGTTTGCTGAACCAATCTTATCATAAGTTATAAATCACTCACTGATGAATCTTATCGCTCTTTGCTCGTCTTTGTTGCGCCGTTCTCGAATCCTGCCACTTTCCTTTGTGCGAGTTCTCCCGCGAGGTTAACCGTCAGTGCGCCACACGAGCCAGCTGAGGACAATACTTGGTTTGTATATGAATCCAAGTTGCGCTTGGTCGTGTCGTGCTTGTGCATGTTGCACGCTTTGATTATCTGACTGCGGAATGACCGCTATTTATTAGTGTTTAGTTTGCCGTACAGACGCAGAAGCCGGCACGATGAGACATAAGGACTTTGCGTAGTGCTACAGCGGCTATCTGATGCACGCATATGTCAAGAGGTGCTTCTTCGCCAAATTACAAGCCAGGTAATGGGTGTGGCCGCTTCAGGATGAATGCCAAATTTCGGCAACCAAAGCAGGCCTGCCAGGCCCGAGGCGTAAAGCATTTCAGCGCATTAATCAAACCTTTGCAATGGGTTCTCGGAGACCTACAGTCGCTTCTGCTTCGACATCAACTACGTGATGATAATTGCTCATACTTACGTCCGATCGCTTCGCTCTCCCTAAGTCACAGATGCGTTGTTGGATTGTCGAAAGTGGGTTCAGAATGGTGTTCACAGTAGCTGTCCTTACATTTTAGCACTTCGGCCTCGACCTGCTTCGAGGCCTCTGCGATGCGAGTCGACATGTCTGTGCTGCAAAGTTTGGTTCTGAAGTCTTCTGCGGGCTGGTCACAGCATAGAGTCGTTGATCACTGCATAAGAGGCGGTTAAATAACTGTCAGTGTTGGTAACGCGTTTTCCCGACACATACACGTGCAAGTCTGACAAACATGCCTGTGGATATCAAGAATTTCGTGACTTGTTTTACATATCAGTAGATTTCCGCTGAAGCGACCAGATACCTGACAAATACATAATGTAGACACACTACTGAATGGCACGGCGGTCGTGATATTGTCCCAATGAACCAATGACACCAATGCTCGATGTGGACAAAGGCCCGAAGGTGGACAAAAGGCAAAAGGCAGAATCACTGCAGATTTTGCTGCCAGTCAGCTGTTGCAGGCTAAAAATACGACCTATAGTTCGGAGACTCCCAAATAGCGAGGAATGATAGCTCAGTGCAAAAGCTAAATGCTGCAGAATCCAGGGATTTTCGGCGTTGGTGTGGTGTCCCTGGCTAGAGAAATGCCACCTTTTAGCTTTTTTAGCGATGCTTAGATGAGCTGCGGGCTTAAATGTGGCAGCTCTAGTCTGCATCAGTTGACTGGCTGCAGAATCTGCAGCGATTCTGTAGCCAGCGCGCATGATGTGAGGGCGCCTGAAAACGAGCTTGCGTTCACTGGCATTTCGGTTTTAACATGCAGTACCAAATCACTTGGGCATGTCAGGAGAACTTGCACCGCAGAGGGCATCGGGGAAGCGATGTAGACGATGTGAGAGGTGTATACGGCGATTTGACTGATCAGGCCCGACAAAGAACTGCCATTCTTCCGAGTAGTCCGCAACAACAAAGCCCCGCCGCCTTAACCACCGCCTCCTCTTTACCGCAAATCTGCGATCGTCTGCCGCAGGGAGGGACGACAGTGTAGTGCTTACCGCGTCAGCGTTAACCACAGCGCGCCTGGGAGACCAATGATGCGAGGTGGGATTCTTCGTGGTTCTCGTCTGTGACCTAGACTCCATGCTAGTGATCCTGCTAGGATGACGAGCAGGCGACGCTATATAGCCTCCGTAGATCAGTGCGTCGTAAAGCCCCAGTGACGACGACGACGATTGTCTGCCCCGGCTGTGACGTCACCGTCGGGAGAGACGTCCACTCACCGTTAGTCTTCGGCTGAAGAGGCACCGGCGTCGTCTCCCCTCCATGGGCACATGGGTAGGCCTCCAAACGCTGCCAGCAGGATCGCACGGTCACCACCTGCTTATATAGGGAGCGGCCCCGCGCGTGCCCCGGGCCATATTCCGCACCAAAGCCGCGCGCTCTGCCGGGAATATGGAGCAGTACGATGTTGGCATCGGCGTGGGACGTCGCGCTGAGAGGAGCTCGGTCAGCAGATGGCGACCGAAGGTGGAGTGACTTAGGTGTCATGGGTGAAGGCGCGAATGTTCGCTCGCTATACATGTAGTACGGTGTTGCGTAACGCCCTGCATGATCTACGCATTGAACTCCCAACATTATTAGTGTTATTTTCGAGTATGTGTATTTCATTGTGTATTGTGAATTGTGTATTGTGCATTGCGTGTTCTATGTATGTATTGTATTCCAAAAGATGTCACGTAAAATATGTGTTCTAAAAGATGTTTTGCAAGTGGCATGGAAGTTATGCCAATTGATGTGATGTGAGTAGTAATCTGTCTGATGTGGTAATCTGCTCATCGGTGTGATTGGAGTACAGTCCGTGATATGAAAGCGCAGGTTCAAGTATATGTAGGCTGCAAAGGTAAATAGTGATATATACCGTATGCGCGCTTGTGGTAACCGAGAAAAATGCGTAACTCAAAATATCCAAAAAACGTGCCCTGATTTTCTTCCTCAAGTTTTGTTTGGTTCAAATTTCAGAGATATTTTTTGGAAAAAAACAGTTTTACATGTGTTCAGGACTGAATGAGAATTGGTCCACTAGTTTGTTCTGTGTAGGGCACAATGATGCAAAGTGATTCCCCTTATATCGAACACTATTTCCTCCACATCATTCTTTCTTGTTTCCTCCTGGTCGGCCAAAAATTCAACGACAACTGCTTGAAATGCAAAAAGTTGGTTTGAACAGTACAACATACACCACGACCACGTTATCAACCTCTACCACGAGTTGGCAACCCGCTGCTGACGCGGCTTCTTTTGCAAATGTGTATATTGCACCAACTCTGGCATGCGTGCAAATAATGTCGAAATTTTATTGGCTGCAATGTATGCTGACATACCGATGAAACATTTCGAACAGATGGGTCAGGAATATGCCATGAGGAATGACACACCTGTGATTCGCTGTCATCTTGGCAATACAGCGAGTGATTTTCCGTGCGCTTTGTTTGTTTCTCAATTTTTTGTTTTCTGTGATTTTTTGTAAGGTTGTCAGAGCCTGGTAAGCCTGGTGTGTACCTGCACGATGCATTCAAAGACGGGGCAACCGATCCACCCGACTGTGGCGTGTTGGGTTCCAGTCGCTTAAAGGCGCTCGCTATTGGCCCCTGACAATTATGACCGATATCAGCGGCGGCGCCAAAGGTCAGTTGATATTGGCGATATCAGCGATATCCGCCGCCCTTGACAATTATGACCGATATCAGCGGCGACGCCAAATGTCAGTTGATATCGGCGATATCAGCGATATCCGCCGCCCTTGACAATTATGACCGATATCAGCGGCGACGCCAAATGTCAGTTGATATCGGCGATATCAGCGATATCCGCCGCCCTTGACAATTATGACCGATATCAGCGGCGGCGCCAAAGGTCAGTTGATATTGGCGATATCAGAGATATCCGCCGCTCTTGACAATTATGACCGATATCAGCGGCGGCGCCAAAGGCCAGTTGATATTGGCGATATCATCGATATGCGCCGCTCTTGACAATTTTGGACGATATCAGCGGCGGCGCCAAAGGTCAGTTGATATCGGCGATATCAGCGATATCCGCCGCCCTTGACAATTATGACCGATATCAGCGACGGCGCCAAAGGTCAGTTGATATTGGCGATACCAGCGATATCCGCCGCCCTTGACAATTATGACCGATATCAGCGGCGGCACCAAAGGCCAGTTGATATTGGCGATATCAGAGATATCCGCCGCTCTTGACAGTTATGACCGATATCAGCGGCGGCGCCAAAGGTCAGCTGACGTCAGAGGGCAGGACGGACCGTGTCTACCATTGCAGCACCTTAAACCTCTGCTACCAAATTGTGTCGTTCACCTGGAATCGCGTGATTGCATGGTACGTGTCAGGACTCACACAGCAAGCACGAATAAGCGTGAGCTCTGATCCCAGAAATGCATCCATTATTCCAGGTCCGGGCTCGGATAGTGTTTTGTTTTTTTACAAAACCCTCAAACGTACACCCTCAGCCTGTGCGCCGTTCCTTAGTGCCCATTATTACCGCACATCATACTTCACTGAGTTACTCCGTTGTTTCCGATTATTATAAACATGGCTCCCCTGGCCCTTCAAAATCATGGCAGGCCAGGCCGCTAACAGGCCTGAAAAGCATGACAGGCCCGGCCGCCGACGGGCCTTAAAAGCATGACAGGTCAGACCTTTCAAGATGTAATACTTCCGGCTCGTTGGCATCATGACCCGGTCAGCCCGCGGCCTCCCGTTGGCCATGAACTTGATGCCATAAACTGAGCTAGTGGAGCCAGACACCTTTGACACCGACGAGCTTTAATAATGCGTCGGACATTCTGCTCTCTATGAAAGTGTAATTGGTGGGGTCCGCTGGCGTAGCACACACGTGCCACTGCATAACGAACAGAGCTCATACACTCGCTCGCATTCAACCGTCTTGAACGGTGTACGGTGAACGGTAAACTTGAACGGCCACTCCCACCCCTGTTTGTTTCTATACATCAGGTGAGTTCGGAACATGTGGCTAAAAAATTTATGTTTGCCTATCCTTGACCCTCCCTCTCCAGTTGACTTGCTCCTCGTATTCTGTTATACAATTTGTACCATACCATGCCTTTTCCCCACATCAATCTCAGTGTAATAATGACAAGTGCAAATGACCATATCCATAGAAATGTGTAATACTATTACAGATCTCTATTGTCACCGTGACATATCTCTACCTGCTCGCCCCCATTCCTCATCCGCCCTCTTACGTCTTGTTTTTTATGACTCTTTCTGGATTAAAGAGTTATGCTCTCTCCATCCAACATAACATGCAATATCGGCTCTTTTGCCCTTATGTCGCGTGGCACTACTGATTCTCTCTCACCAAGCTTTGAAGTCGGTACGAGGCACCACGAAACGCCACGGATTTCAGCTGAGGATGCTTCAAACCCCGGCGGCGAACAGAAATGGTGAGAAAAATAGCAGAGAGCAATAAAAAGCAATGACCGCAGCATTTTTTTTTTACTTTTTGGTCTTTGTAAAAATAGGATGATTAAATGGTTCAAAGGCTTCAAAAGAGATCCAAAAGAGGTGACGCTAGAACAAACATGCTGCACGTTCTGCTACTGTATGCACTTGACGCGGATTAAAGGTTTACTTTACCGGCATCATGATGAGGAAATAGTAGGACAGAATGAGGTGCTTGTTTTTTACGGCAGTTAGGATAGTGAGGTTTGCATTTTTATGTTGCATGTATCAATTTAATTACTCGTCATACTAACAGGGTTTTGAATTTGTCATTCAAAGCGATCGGCAAAAAAGATAAACACTCTGGAAGCTCCGTGGTCTCGGATAGGCTGATCGATGCATTTTGCTTTTGGTGCCGATGACAAGACGTTCATACCATTGTCTGGCAAATCTAGTGTAGTGATTTGTGACGAGAATCCTGAATGTTTGCGTGTACAGGCTTGATCATTGGGTGTCATCGACTTTAAAGAGAAACGAAATAGGGGCATCTCAGTTTTGAAAGAGACACTCCCAAACACTTTAAGACCGCTGGGTCCAGCCCCATCCCCACCCCCACCCGTCTCGTTTGACCCACAGTTTCGTGTTGTACCAATTTTTTACCAGGTGTGGCTCCTGGCTATCAAGCTACTGTAAATTTAACTAAAATACTGAGCTAGAGAAATTTTAGCAGACATGCCAGTCACACCATCCGCTTGTCGCGGAGATCCAGAAGGAATTTTCGATGCTGTGCATTTGATCGAACGTCGAGTATGTAAATGGTGCCGAGACCGACTTTGTTTGGCGTTTGTTTGGCGTGTTTGGCGCCTTGCCGGGGAGAACCGGAGTCTGGCTGTTGCGCGTTCACTCTCTGGACAGCGCTAATGCCGTGCCAAGTCTGCGGCGTTGGCGTGATATGACTTGGACTGCTTGACGTGTATGCCTGGTGTACGGGCCCCATGCGTGTCTCAAACACTAATCGAATGTCAGTGAATCAGGAACGCGCGGACCTGTTATGGTGCTCCATGTTGCAACATTGCGCGGGATTGCTAAGCGCCGAGCTCAAACTGGGTCTGGAAGGCTGGAGCAGAACTGTGCCGAGGTCGTATCAGGCCAGCCGGCAGCACATTCACCCGTGGTATCGGTTCCGGTAACGCGCGGTGCTGTTTCTAAGGTCGTGTGATTTGCCATTGAGGCCGTACGATTCCTGGGCCAAGGCGGAGGCTGCTCATTATATGGCGAACATTTTGGAAGGAAAAGATCGGCTTTCACGAAAATGCATTGCCTACAATCTTTGATTATCACTGCATATTAGATGATGTACTATGCTATATGTATTACAAAACACTATTATCAAATACATCATTAAAACAGATAAGAAAAAATGTCAGGCAGGACTGCGGAGCGTCGGGAATTCTGGTGTCCAAAGTGCAGCATTCATTTTCATTAATTTCCCGTGAAAGTGCGCTATTTTCCCAATCCTTTCCGTCAAGAGCGGGTGGCAATCATCACCCAGCGTCACCTGTATCAACCACTTCGCTCTTGTTTACATGAGTATCACCAGCGTCTGTTGTGTGCTCCACCACTCCGGTCCTCTTTTTGAGACTTTGTCGCCACCCAGTTTTTTGTACTTAATTGTAATAGCACAAATCTATACGCCCTAACAATAGCCGCAGCTTCATACAGTGTGGGACTAGAGATCCAGATACCTGACTATCTGATTAACAATCTTTATGGCGTTAAGTAAAACAACTACATTGCCGCCAATAATATCACGTTGTAAATGTTCACAATAAACACCGCGGCGGTAACGCATGTCACGTGGCGCTTTGC